TATCCTCTCGCTTTATCCTCTCGCCTTTATCCTCTCGCTTATCCTCTCGCTTTATCCTCTCGCTTTTCTCGTGCCTGCGGCCCTCGCCGCTCGCCACGTGGTTTATCCCCCCAAGTTGTCTCGACATCATCTGTTATTATAATAGACGAGTGTTGGCCAACCTGTCAAATTGACAGGCCCGTCTCCTGACACTCGAGCTGACTCTGTCGACCCGTGGAATCTCTGCCTCTTTTCTCTCTCACACACTCTCTTCTTCTGTGTGAACCTGTGAACCTCTAACGTCTCTCCCCCTTCCCCCTTTATCGTCTCACTTCCGCTCTGCGGCCCTGCGGGGGTCGCCGCTAGCCACGTGGTTTGTCTCCACGTGGTTTATCTCGAGGGTAAATCTGTTATAATAGTAGATTACTACTTGCACGTGAGTCTGGTCATTGTGATTTGTTGTGTGTTGACTGACTTGTTGGATCATTCATTTTGAAACACACATATCCAACCACCGTCTTGCGTTAGCTGGCACCTGGCACTGAGGTCGGATTGGCAAGGTATGAGCCATATCTTGTATTGTAGTCGCGCCTAGTTCCGTGTGGTACCTTCCACCCTTCTCTAGTTTCTTCCACTTCATTCTAGCACTTTCCATCTGCTAGAATGTTCCACCAGTCCCCCTGCTTCCACAGGATTGATTAGAAGTTAAATAGGCTGCTTGTTATTGTTATGCATCCTCTTTCCCTTCCATTGACTTTCTACATTGGAGTCGTGTGCTATTCTCATCCGGCACGCGTCTTACATGTATAACTGTGAGTTTTTGTTTGGGCTTTTGATCCCTAAAAAGACAGCAAGCAGCAAACACTTACCGGCCTCACTTGGAGAGGGTTCAGTCGACACCACAACCTGGCCAAAGCTTTATACATCAGTGCGAGTTACTTACCTCGACCTCGACTTTTCACCCTCTTTCCATTCCTTGCTCCCTGTCTTTGTCTCTTACGTTCTACTCTTTCGTGTCTCTCATGGATGGTCTTTGTTATCGTACGCGTGGTTTCATGGTCACGGACGTCGTCGTCGCGTGACAAACACGTCTTGTTTGAATGTTACTTGATTTTCTGATCAACTACTCACTTTTGTGAAAATTGCTTTTAATCAATCTCTCATCGACCTTGGATAGATCTCTTTGATCTCATACATCACGAGGTATGTTCCCTTACGAAACCCCCATAGCCGAAAGCTCACCAACATAGATTATTCCCGTGTCTGGTTCTGACAGTTTGGAACCAAGGAGAGGGAGGGAACGAGGAAAAGGGGCACAGGGTTTATGGGGGAAAATGCTCAAGGTTTTTCGAAAAAAAGAGGTAAGCGACCTACCTACCTCTAATAATGTACTTCTGTCCACCCTCTAGATCCATAAACGTCCACAGGTTTTGTGACCATCATACTAAACGTTTACCATCACACCTTGCCTTGGTCCTGCCTGCTCTGACAGCCTAGCTTTGTTCGTCGTAAACTAGGATACCGTCGACGAGACCGGTCAACCTCCCCGCACCCGAAAGAGTCAGGGTACCGGTACCCAAATGGATCCGTGTGTGTTCACAGTTTCTGTAAAAGTCGAAAAGAGTAAACTACCAAGTCGAATATTTGTCCTTGAATGTTGAAGATACCCACATGGAAGTGACACCTACTCGGATTGAGTGAAGAGAAGAGGGGTTAACAGCGACGGGAGAGAACACAACCTCACGAATACTATCTGTCATGGACAAAAGTCAGGAATCAGAAATGGGTGAGTCAGGTCTTTGATCTGATATGTATCACTGAAGGACAAAGTTGAAGATGAAAACAAGTTTTTTTCAATAGTACATTGGACATACATATACCTTGCGATGACGAATTTTGGATGTCGATGATCTATCCCATCCACCAGATCCAAACAGTTTTCCCTGATGCCAGATCCCCGAGTACGATCCTACTTGCCAAGTACGTCCAGTGAGGATTCAGTCCGGTTTGTGCACAAAGAGAAGAGCGGGTCACTCGAGACGACGGAAAACCTTGTCGGATGAAATGGGCACTGTCAAGTTTAGAAAGAGAATAGAAGAAAGCTAGGGGAAAGGGGAAAAGCTTCTGGGAGGAAAAAAAAAAGCATCAAAAGTAAGTAGAAAAGCAGATAGAGCGAGCGATGCTGAATTCTTAGTCTGTATGTATCTATCCGAGGTTCAGTCCTATGAATACCATCGGGCCCAATCAAGGGAATGTAATCGACTACATGGCAAATGAAGCAAGACACATAACTCTGCCAATACAGGCTCTCACCCCCCCCCCCCCCCCTGGTTCCTTTTATCACTCCGTGTCCACTTTTCGGATCGTGTCAAAAAGCACGTTTCCTCGATACCGGATCGTCCACAGGCCCGAGTTGTTCAGTGGGAGGGAAGAAGCGATCGCTTGACATGCTTACATGTGCCGACAATGGATGTGAGTCATCTTGTTCCTTGATTGAAAAAACGAAATGATACTTACCGGAAGGCATCGATCCGAGAAAGTTATGTAATGACATCTGAAAAGAGTTCAGGACGTGATGAAACTCGTATCAAGATTACACCATTTACGGTCAAACCCTACTACACCTAGGAGAATGTTCAAAGGCTCATCGGACCAAGAACGGGGGTATTGAAACGAATGCCGAGAAGTTTCAGATACGATTTTTACCCCAGGGGGAGGGAACGTACAGGCTTTTTGTTCTGCTGCGTGATGGTGAAACCAATATCTCGTGTTTCCTGTTTCAACGCCCGCCCCCCATTTCTCAAGGAAGTGGATAAAGAGATCATGTTTCTTGTTTACTCGGTGAGTTATCAATTCTTCTTGTGTGTATGAACGTTAATCTGTATCAGATGTCAATTGACCGAATGACTTGAACCATGATCATGCATGATCATGACCATGACGTCGTCCGACCTGAACTTTACCGATTCAAGCAAGACGGGTTTTTAGGAATTCTTTTCTATCATAAATCAGCCACGTTCCTCGCCCGTCATTATGCGGAAGGGGTGAACAGTCTTACTTGGAGCAAGTTGGAGAAGAGAGGGGAATCTTACACGATCGTCATCCCTTCGGTTTCGGCAACTGGGAGGGGTGGGGGTGAGTTGTGTGTGCCGTTCCTTGGAAATTCCAACTTCCTCCCTTGCTCACTTGGTTTTTTTTTCAAGCTAGACATCTACCTTGCTCATCGAGTGACCGAGCCAGAAAGAAAAGAAGAAGGAGAAAGGAAAAAAGGTCGGCGACTCACTCTCACTCTCACCCTAGCAACGATCCTGCAGGCATTATAGGAGACACTTGGGGAAGTAACCAGAGCGAATGTCTGGAAGCAATCCAAGAGAATGTCTGGAAGCAATCCAGGCGAATGTCTGGAAGTAATCAGAGTGAATGTCTGAATAGATTCAGTGAAAAGAGTAAATGCAATAGACATTCGAACTAACCTTTCCCACATACCCCCCCGGAATCTGCAGTCGAACTGTGATCTACTTACTATACCAAACCTCACATGTTCCATCTGATTAGTTTGCACACCTATCAATACCTCGCAGTAATCCACTCATCCGTCCATCCCCTCCAAATGTCATTTGAGAAGCCAGACCAGGAAGATTCTTTCTTCACACCTTGGAAAAACCCACAAAAAGTGAGAGTTGGAGTTTGTCATCCACCCAAGTGACATTCCTTTCGTTTTGTGGATTGTGATGACAAACCCTGATCGGAGAGGAAAGCTCGGGGAAACGACGTCCAATTTGAGCTGAGCTTGCCCTTTCCAAGATTGAAAATGATCGGAATGACGGGGGGGGGACAAGTGAGGCGAGTACACCCAGTGGAGAAATGGTACCATCCACAGTAAGGCACGTTGACGTTTATCCCAACTTCCGGTTTTTGTTATTTTCCATTTTCAAGCGAAGACAAAAAGAGCAATTGGGAGACGCCGTTCGCGACGTTTTGTGACATTCTCTCTGTCGAAATTCGGGGACTGACTGGCAAATTCTTCCACAAAGTTAGAATTGACACGGATTCGCTTTGGTTCTAGCTTCCAAAAAAAAAAACATGCATCCCATTGAGAGGGGAAGAAAGACAGCGAGTCGTGGTCGTTTGTCTCGAGAAAAATAAAGGGTACGTATAATCCAAAGTATCTTGTCTTTTACCCTTTGTCTGGACTACTTTCACATGTTTGGAGAGAAATGGGTAGCGAGCGCCTGTGGGTTTGGGTTTGGGTTTGGGTGTGTACATGTATTATTATCCGTTGATACATTGACAGAACATATAATCATATATCATTTCTACAAATCTCTGAAGAGGGATGGATCTTAAAACATCAATTTATCCATCGTTTTCAACAGGTAAGAAAAGAAAACACTTTGGGATTGATTACCATTTGTTTTTTTTTTTCCGGTGCCCTTTTCCATTGATGAAATACCTTTTTGAGGATACTTGATACTTTAATCCACAACTGTCTCTTTGGGTATAAGATCATTTATACTCCCCTCTTCCAGTGTATCTTCTAGGTCTGTCAAAACACCTAACATCATCTGATAGCCGTCGTAATGTTTTTTTTTTTCCTTCAGGTATAGAGGTGAATAAGAAAGAGGCCCGCAGATGCAGGTTTTTGGACGAATAGTCGACGAATTGACCAAGTTAGTTAGGTGGGTGACATTCTTTTCCTTCATCTTTTGACGTTTTCAAAAGTACTGGGTAAATCCTCCATGTTCATCATGGTATTGGACTTTTGCACAGGTTTCAATGTTTTTGACCCACCCGCGGGGTGTGGGAGGAGCTATGAAGAATTTTATTAGGGCGATGTGTTTGTTGGATTTGGTGACAGCATGCTTTAAAGAATTCAAAGCATCGTCCGCCATCCGCCATGGGTTGGGTTGTTTTGATCCCCAGACGGAGCATCTGTAAGCCATCTTTTTCTCAAAAACGCTGCGATGCATCACTTTGGCCACGTGCGGGAAAACCACGTTTGCATCATTTACTCGGAAAACCTGTATGGAGAAACCGCGACGTAACACTTTTGACGACACCCGATATTGATGTGTCGTCACACACGCTGCCCTACCCCTACTTCGCCATGACGGTCCAAACTCACCACACCTCCGTACCAGGTCCATGAGCTTGCCATGAGGCCAACCTCGCGAGCAGCCAACCTGGCGTTTCGAACGAAGCTTGCCCCACCTCTTCAACGTCCACCACCAGACTCTGTTCGTCGTTCTCGTCCGCCGACAATCGGTCACGATGCACTACGACGCTGCGATCCAAAGTTGTGTCGGCGGGCGTATCGGCAGGACGAGGGGAGAGAAAGCTCGCGGGAGTCGACCAAGGATCAAGAGTGTGATTTGCTAGACGACGATAGTCCACAGGCGTGAGATATGTAGTGGTCATTACGGAAGACCGAGGAGTGGAGAATGACGAGGGAGGATGGATGGACGGAGAAGAATCGAATCGTTCCTCATCTCTGGCTGGATCAGACGTGTGAGAGACTTGGGACATTCGGCATTTCCGTGTTGTCGGCAACAAGGATGGAGTGGACACTGGGTAACGTTGGAGCTCGAGGTGACGAGGAGATGTCGATTCTGACAAGGGTGGGGGTGGGACAGATGAGATTAGGAGATGCCAAGCCGACCGAGGAGGGAGAGGACGTAGAGAGGGAGGAGATTGGATAACAGACTGAGTGTAAGAGGAAGAGAAAAACCAAGGGGAAGCTGTCGCGGCCATGGTGGACGGAGAACATGTCCCAGTCGAAGACGTATCAAAGTGTTTTTCTCTCCTTGCTGGCGTACGAGTCTTGATCGTTCCTTCGGCCTCTGTCGAGATGGTCGGGTGGTCGGGGTGAAAAGGTGGAGCTTGGTCGTCGTCGGCTCTCATGAGCTCCATAGGTATCGGTTTCCTCTCTCTCCCTCGCCTCGCCAACAGACGGCCGCTCTGCTCGAGCTCATCGTCCAGCAGCACCCTCACGGCGTCCAGACCTCTGTTCGAGGTGACTGTAGGGTGAGCTTTGAAGACGCGGGGGGGGGGGGTTTTGGAGCGAGATTGACGCACCCTTGCGTCTGATCATGGTCATCTTGCGGAGAGTGGACCAGAGAGAACGACGAGTCGTCTCGTCGTTCCCGTACCCGTTCTCTGCGGTGGGGTTCTTGTTGTTGTCGTCGTCGTCGCCGCCGTCGGATGACCGGGGGACCAACGTCCAGCCCGATTCGGATTCCCATGCGATGGGTGTCAAGGGGGACAGAGTGAGTGGGTCCAAGGGTGAGTCGAGTGGGTGAAAGATGCTGCTCATGGTGGGTGAAGTGACTTGTGTCGTCATCGTCGTCATCGTCGTCATCGTCGTCATCGTCGTCATCGTCGTCATCGTCGTCGTCGTCGTCGTCGTCGTCGTCATCGTCGTCATCGTCGTCGTCGTCATCGTCCGTGTCCAAAAGTGAAGTGACGATATTCGGATATTCGAACCGGAGTTTATAGTTTCACACGTTAACGCCGAGAGTGGCGCCACACTCAACCACGTGTTCGCTGCCCCCCTCTACATATATCTCCCGGACCATCTATATGACGCGCAAGATGCATTCAACACATCTCACCCAACTAAATACAGATATCTACTCAAACATCCCGTGACATGGCGTCTAGTATATATATGTCTGATGTCATACCAATACTGCTATACTGTGCTCATCCACCCCGAGTGCAAGTCTGAGAGACCAAGACATGTTGAAGAGCGACCTGTGCATAGGGTAGGACGACTGTCGGGTGGCGAGAGAAAAGACGCACGCCTAAGACGCCTCCCTCCGTGCCTATCTCCGAAAGACTTCTTCTTAGTGTTTTTCACTCGTTCCTTTTCTTTTCCCAAAAGACATCATGTATAGAGCAGCCGCTCGCTACGATGACGACGATGACGACGACGACGACGACGACGACGATGACGACGATGACGACGATGACGACGATGACGACGATGACGACGATGACGACGACGACGACGATGACAACGATGACAACAATGACAACCGCACGGTCACCGTCACTCGTGACAACGCCTCGCTGTACACCGTCGTCCGTCACCCTCTCACCCTCCTCGCCTTGGCCGCCGACCAAGTCAAGCTTCTCGACGGTTTGGTCATCAGCTGGATGCCATCCGAGTGGCAAGGTCACGTCGTCCCTCCCGCCGTGATAGATCTGATAAAGGTCAGTCTCTTGCTCACTCACTCACTCACTCACTGTTGGTGTCATGTTCTGACCGTCAGTCCATGGGTGGTACCCCTACCCGTTTCCCTTCACATTTTGACCTCCTCCTACGTCCCACCCTCCCCGACGCCCGCCTCCCTCTCCTCTCCTCTTCACCTCGTCGGTCCACATCCCCTCCATGGGTCCCGCTCAAAGACCTCTCCGCTGTCTCGCTAGCCGTTCAAGCCCTCGACGCCCTCGCACCTCTCCCCAACCCCCTCCTCGTCCTTCCCAAACAACGTCGCGTCATCAACCGGGCTTGGCTCGAGGCTTCGGCCAGGACCGGAGCGCTCGTCGTCCTGCCCGATGCCAAGGAATGCGACCGGACGTTCTTGTCTCTCCTCGACGAGCCGGGTGGGGATGCGCGTGCGAGCGAGACAAACGTCGAGGCCCCGGTGAGCAAAGCAGCATCGCTCGGTCGACGAACGCATCACCCCTTCATCCCCGCCGACAGGGCCATACGGTTTTACATCGTCCTCGTCGCTTTCCTCGCGTGGGATTTCCCGTCTTCCACCATGGGAAGACCGCCCAAGTTGGTCGATGGGGACGAGCGAGGGAAAGGGGTGTTGGCCGGGTCTCTGAATGCGTTGAGGAAACAGTTGACCGTACGTCGCTCACTCACTCTCTCACTCTCACTCTCTCTCTCTCTCTTGCTCTTTTCTTTCTCCCTCCCGCCTTTTGCGATCTGACCCTCACATCGAATCTCTCTCGCCGACACCGCTCTCTCTCTCTCTCTTTCATCTCTCCTTCCCCCCCCTCTAATGTCTCTACATCTATCTCTTTCATCCCCACGACATCGCACAAACATAGCTCTCAGCTTCATACCCTCGCGCAGCTCCATCCCCCCTTGACACACCGCACAACGACCATGCAGCTGACGACACAGGTTCGGATCGGAGGTATATCCGACGACATACGCATCTTCAGATCTCACTTGCAAACCGCCTTCCCCGACGCACCCTTCTCCACCAGTCCAAACCCTCTAGGCAGGGCGCGAGTGACCCCCGCCGTCTCTGCGAGCTCTGGGCCCGCGCACCGACGTCGAGTGTTGCCCGGCAAGGCGATGTTTCTGCCAGAGCCTGGGCTAGAAACACCGCCAGAACCAGAACCACAACCACGACCACTGCCGTCTCAGCCAATCCGAACACGCTCACCCACAAGCAAGAACGGCAAGAGAGCCAGAGACCGCGAGGACGATTCCAGGTCGATCAGACCGAAATTCGGTGAGTTTATCACACAACTTTTGATCGCTGTTCTTTCCCCTTGCTTTTTCCCTCTCCTTGTCATCTCCCCCACCCCTTTCGGAACAGTCTCCAAGTGGTACCCGACCTCTGAGTCTTCTTGCTGGCCAAATCCTCTTGCTACATCTGTCAGAACCGGGACCGATCCTCCCAGTCCGAGCTTATACTCGCCCGATCCCTGTTGCTCGTCTGAAGCGTCTTCGGTTTCATATCGCGATTTTCTAGTCGAACGCGAGCTCGAACAAGTCCAGAACGCAGGCTCGAGCTCGAACGCAAGTTGACTCGCAGGTGAAACACATGACACTCCCCACATGGATGGTGCTTCGACCCCCGGGCTTGCCCCGGATACATGTACATCTCCAGGTCGGGATCGGGTTCCGGAAAGAGACGCAGATCGGCTAGTCGAGTCAGAGACGGAGACGGAGCGTGTTCCGACGGCGCGCTCTCATATCTCGTCAGAGGTTTGGCCTCGGCCGAGCTTCTCATTTTGGACGGCACTCAATGTGAGCATTTTGGTTTCTTTGTGAAACACTGTCTCTGTATCCCTCTCGGTCTCATCTCTATCTCCATGGTAAATCCCGCCTCGCTCACGGTGGAAATGCCTGAACATGACTCGTTTCTGCTTGCAAGTCGGTCGGTGGGATGGTCAGTCGGTGGGATGATCAGTCAGTGGGATGAGATGCAAGGAAAGTGAGATGATAGTATACACGCTGATCCACTCTCTCGTAGGCTGAACAGCTGGCAAGTCCACCCATCATCTCGGCCAACACCCTTTCCCAGTGTTCCCTCTCATGCCAAATAAGATTCCACAAGCACTCGCCTCGCTTCCCCCCCCCCCCCCCTGCCCATCAGCGCTTCGACTGACGTGCAGGCTCTCTCGTCGGAATTTCTCGTCTCATTCGCAACCTTTCACTCGCCCTTTCCCCGCTCCGAACCCACCCACTCGGTTTCGCTCGGCCGACCCGACTTGTTTGGTCTGGGACACAGCGGGAGAATGGCCGGTGTCGATTGGGGCGAGATCCGTCTTTTGGCTCAAGGCCCCCGTCAAGGATCTGGAGAGGGCAAGATGGCGAGCAGAGATCGGAGAGGAGTACTGCAGATGCCGGTTCTGTACTGTCTTGGGACGGCTATGGCCTGCAATCATGTTGATGATGATATAGGTCGGTTTTTCTGAATCCACATCCTACTGGCCCACATGTCCCTCCCTTGTCGTGTCGCACGTTGTATCTCTCATCGTTACGTGACTGTGCCCGCTGGACAATCCATGTCGCTCGTGACTCTCTCATCCCGCCCCCTCGCCCCTCGAGTTTCAGACGTGGGTCATCCTACCCCTCGGGTTCCACCCGCCGGCCGCTGCATCTCTGCCAGAAAGCGCGAGGGACCATGGGTCAAGACTGACCAATTCAGTCAGATCGCCATCGAGACCTTCACACCGGTCCAAAGTGCACGTACAGTGTCTACCTCCTATAGATCTCGACCTCGTTCAGCTGTACAATCTTCTCGACCAGCCTCACGTATCTCCGTTCCACTCGCCAGAGTGCGAGCCGGGTCGATACGCTGAATCGGATTTTGGAAAGCCCGGACCGGTATTTGATTCTGTCATTCGTTTCCTTGTACGTCGCATCATCCTTGACCCATCACGTCATTCATTACATTTCCCCGTTCCACGCATTTCCACTTTGTTTCCCTCGTCTGGCATCTGACATTCAAGACACCTCGGTCTTTCGCCAACCCGTCGCTCGTTTCCTCGTCTTGGCTTTGCTTGCCCTTTGTCCCGTCCGCCCCTCTTTCCCCGTCCTTGCAGTCATATGCAAACCGGTCCATATGTCTGAAATTGGCTCGCTCTCCGACCTCTTCCACTCACGCCCACGCCTCTCACTTCCGAAGCAAACTTAGCATGTGCCCACAGCGCGTTCATCACTCCCCCTGCCGAGAACACTGTTGCTTTCGTCGTGATGCTGACGTCAGACCGAAGAGCAGAACGACGGTGACATCTTGACCGTTCGCCCGGCAAGGCTCGTCGTACCCTTGTTCGTCAACAGCTCTGAATGGGCTCTGGCCGCCTTGGACCTGACGCTCGAGGCCGGATCCAGCCCTGGATTGGGTATTGACCCTGCACGCTTTTTGAGCGTCGTAGTGACTTTCTGGACACCTCGGTCTTTTCACTGGTCCTTGTCGTCTTGGAAGCATGGATCGTCGCCATCGACATTGAGCACGCACGAAGGCATCCGTCTGGGATGGCAGCGCGGCGAGGTTGAGGTTGAGATTGCACAGACGACCAAGGTGGAGAGAGGGACGTTGAGGATTGAAAGTGATAGCAGCAAAACGGTCGGCGATGAGACTGAGCGGACTGTCGACAAGGTATAGATTGTCCCGTTTTTTGTCTTTGCTCCTAACCCCCTCGTTCTTTCGTTGACAATTCCCTCTCCTCGTGTGGACTCCCCTTGGTGTTCCTGTGTACCCCTGCTCTGACTCTCACTCGTACACCCCACAAATCCGAATGCTGGATCTGAAGAGAAAAGGAAATGCGCCGACGATCTGATGGATGGTGGAGGATTGTACGCTGACACGTAGTTCCTGAACCAAATGATCCTGGTCTTACATTCCACCTGGTCGACTCGAGGTGCTGGAATCGTAGACATCAAGGCGAGTCTGATTTCCTTCCCCTCTTTCCCTCCCCCCGCGGCGCTCAAGGCCGCCCATCGCCTCGGCGGATTCACATAGCTCCACCGAGTAGAGAGGGAGAAAGAGATTGAAGCTACCGCCGTCGTCGAACACGATTTCGGTGATTATGACGCTGACTCTCAGACGTCACCCCTCACACTCCCTTTCGACCTGACAGAGTCTTCCATGGGCGTCGTGCTCGCCCTGGAACTGCTCATGACCGGTCGACTCGCTCACTCTGAAACGGAGAAGGGAGAGGAAAAGGAAAAGAAGACGACCCCATCCATGGTCGATGTCCCCGAAGACTTGGGAACCCGTCTGGTGTATTGGCTCAAAGAGACGTGGTGGACCTCGCCATCCGACCGGTGATTACATCGTTCCTCGTGTCCGTGTACGAGTACGAGTACGGGTACGGGCTTTGTCGAGTACTGCTGTCATCCATCTGTTTGGGCAGTAGGTCATATACTTGCGTACAAGTCATGTATGGTCCATGGTCTGGCAAACCTGGCCCCGGTGACTCGAGTGGAACGTGGTGTCGTGACATGAGAGGGGATGAGTGCTCGCTTGGATCCAAGGTGAATACGATACTCTCTCCTCACCATCATTTGATCTGCTCTCGTTTCGTCTTTTTCTCTCTCTCTCCCCCCCCCCCCCCCCCTCTCTCTCTCTGTTCGTATTGTTGTCTTGAAGAGTAGCTTGACATGCGTCCCTCTCTCTCCCTCTCTCTCTCCCTCTCTCCCTCTCTCTCTCTCTTCCCGCCTCGTTCTCATCTCCCAGTCCTCGGGGAACCAGCTTGACCTAGTGCTCGGACCGCTGGACCTGAACCGTCTCCATCCCCCCTGCCCGTCGCAAACTTTTTTCTCTGATCCCAGGACATGTCGTCCCCGGGGCGCCTTGTGACCCTTTCCGTCCCTCGCCGCGGTGTTGGTTTGCAGCATCGCCTGACGGTGACGTTGGCGCTGATGGATAGACACGATCGAACCGTCTGGCAGAAACCATCCTAGCCCCACAAGACTCGGACGACCCGAGGGGAACAGCACGAGTTGATGGACGACTTCGATCCTCGTGTGCTTGTTCGTGGTCGAGCGGTTCGCCTCGGATTCTCGAGACAAGGCGCTGCTCGGCTCGACTTGCGGTTCAAGAAAGATAGATACCTTGTTTAGGAAAACAGACCAAGGTCATCCCACCGTCTGGAATCACGCGCTCTTCAGGTTGTAATTGGTCATTATGACCATGTACCTTTTTTGCCTTTTTTTTGTGATATTCCCGATATGCGTTGACGTGATGAAGCTACTCACTACTCACTACGGCTCGTGGCTTGTGGCTTGCGACTCGACTCCCTGCCGTTCTCAAATCCTAGCGATTTCCGTCACGCACCAAACGTGAACGTGAACGTCGCGATGGAGGACGTAGGATCGCATACCCGATGACCGACTCGTCTGGGGAAGAGTGACAGGTCGAGGAGAAGGAAGAGTGGGTGATCAGGTCTGTCGTCCACACCATACGTTTTCCAACCGAGACAAATCGATACCCCAGGGGTTACGCTTGATCGTCTACGAGCACGTGTAGAGAGAGAACGATAGTTAGAGTTCTCAGACTCACTTGGTTATGCTACCAGTGCCATTCATGCCAAAGGTTTCAAATACGACATGTTGATTCTAACTAACCCTCGTCTGGCATATCCCATCATTCATCATCTCTTGAGAGCCCGAATCCGTCCCCTCGATTTCTTCTCGTCCTACGCACCCCCGACCTCATGCTACCCGTCCCCCTCCCTCGCCCACGGGTTTTTCATACCGCTCAACTCGTCAAAGATTCCCCGGTCGGTCGTAGAGCCTGTTTAGCCGCACGTACAGCCGCTTTCAGTTCGTCGGAGAATTTCGAAGGAGGGGGAGGTGAGACTGCTTGGTGTGGTTCCCACTGCACCTTGTGCTTGTTTCCCCTCGTCTTCCCGGGTTCTTCAGCCTTACGAACTCGCAGAGGTCGAGTCAATGGTGTCGATGTCTGTTTTGGTAAGCCCATGTGTCTTTTTCTTCCTTTGTTCTTTTCCTCTAAAATGAGTATATAGACTCACGATCGGATAATCTTCTTGACCCCGTTCCATATCCATATCCATATCCATCACCTGATCTCGTGGTTTGATCTTGTCCCCACCTGTCGGATGGATCACCTCCCCTCCCCGCCTGCATCTGGTGGATGGGGATGGATCTGATCCCCAATGACCATGGTTCCTTTCGACTCTATCCCTGATTCCCTGACGTGGACTAACATGTCCTCGATGAGCCCGTACAGAAGAGTGTCATCAATGACGAGCTCATGCTCTTGCTCGTCTCGCCCTTGACGCCTCTCGTTCTCTTGTCCAAATCCAACTTTCTCTTTCGAATGAATCATCTTTTCCTCCCAATTCTGCATGTCCGTCTCTCCCTCTCCCATTCCGTCGACGAATGGCTCTTAGCCCAGGACAGGGGTCGGGGTCATAGTGATCGATCCACGACGGGACCCATTCGTCATTAGGTCCATTGACCTCGTCGTCGTCACCGCCATCGCAGACGTAGCTCGAGGTGATGGTGGTAACTTGGGCGAAGAAAGACTAGGACCTAATATCTTTTTCTGGTGGGCTCGACGATGAGCTAATTCAATCGAGGGTGATGCAGGTGTGGAAGGAATATCCATCAATTTCATTCGTCCTCGACGATTACGTCGTCCAGGTGCATTGAGGTCGTTTCGTGGACGTCACCTGGCCCGGTGGCCTCGCTCACGCTCACGGGTGACGGTGGGGTGAGAGGACGGACAGGGTTCGAAAGGTTCTTAATCTCAATGGAACCGAATGCGTCGACACCAGGGAGGTTGACGTTAAGGGGACAAGTGGGAAAACGCAGAGGTGGGATGAAAGTCGACAGGGAGAGGTTTCGATGGAGAGGAATGTAATGGAGAAGGAGGAGTGAGTTTGTTAATGACGACGTAGGGTGAGAAGGAGACGTGTTCATCTTGGTAGGACAGCTGACCGAAAGTGAGAGCCAACAGGGGATGCTGCTGTTGCTGTACGTTGCCGTGCTCGAGTTGGGAGTGGTATTTTTTCCAAAGTGATGGCGACATGGTCGATGGATGTGATGGGATGCAACGCCGTAAAAATTGTTGTCTTGGTTATACACAAAGAGAAAACTCGGCCATGTCACGTGCGCGTGCCACAACACAGCCTCGTTTGGATAACAAAGTCCATTTTAAATGTCATAAAATTACCACGTGTACCTCTCCTCCTTTGCGTGCAGGTTTATGTGCATCTATCTCGGCCATTACATTTCTCATTGATCAACTAAGCAAATCAATCACTTTGGATTTCTTCCCATGCCATCGAAACCCCCCCCGGAGCCCACCTGTTGCAAGGTTTGGAAGACGCCACATTGCTTCTGTTTCCTCTGCTGGACAATCATCCCTCAAGAACCTGTTTGGAAGATTTAATTCAAGCACATCACCAAATCTCTGCAAATCATCGCTTAGATCAATACCCAGCTGTCCTTAACACTCTTCTCTGACCCTCTTTTCTATCACAGTGACATTCTCCTCCTCACAGAAACGAGGGATTTGTCATAAACAAGCATTTCACATGTCTTTCTGATATTGTCGACTTTTTCAAGGACGATCCAGTGTTTTTTATCAAGAAGAAACAAAACAAACCTCAGGCCCCAACAAAGTATCATAACGGGTTACTGGTCTAACAAATGGCTCATGGACACAACTGAAGGACCTTCAATCCCGAGTTCAGGGTCTCAAGTGTGTTTTCCTTCCAATTAGTCTGTCCACTTTGCTGATAATTGGTTAGACGGCACTGTATTCAAGTGGTGTGACCAAGCCCTCATTGTTATTCTGAAACAACAATCATACTTCATCTCCTGGCCGTCCCCGACCAAAAGAATTGAGATAAAAGCTCAATTTCTCTCTGAATACTCAATCCCTCAGGGTGTCGGTCTCATCCACGGCTATGATGTGAACCTCTCAACTGCTTTAGAGGAATACCTAAACGATCCGAATTTCTTTTAGAGTCAATGCAGGGGCTTATCATAGCCCCAAGGAGAGGTATGGCTTCAATGTGGCTATCGTCGATCAAGCTAAGCGTTTTTGCTATATTCATTACAGTAATCCCGCTTCCAGCAGCAATCAACAAGTTCAGCCATCGGTGGGTGACTTTGACAGGTAGTGACGGTATCGTAATCTACAGGCAACTGCTGGATGAAGGATTGTTTACTGGGGGGGGATCATGTTACACAATGCATGGGTCTTGATTTACCTATTACAGCAAAAAAGACTCGCATGGTTGGTCAACCTCCAAATCATACCTGTTGCGAACGGCTACCCGCGGTTGACACTACTTTGCACATTTTTTGGTCTGTACTCCCCAGGACCTGGTACACATCGTTTTTGACTACTGAGTAAGTCAAGCCTGTGAGGCTGTCACAAACTATTGTGAGACCCCAGCACCACAACTACAACACCTCCTTTGAAACACCAATTTCCATCAACTACCCCTAGCTGCAATGTCGACAATCACCCTGATGTCACGAGACCAACTAACCAGCATTGGGACAATATAACAGTGCCCTTCAGAGACAGTGGTCTAAACCACTGTGCTAGAAGGCCTATTAACCGGCGGTTACTGCAAACCGCCGGTCGCTGGTTAAGCGGCCCTTAACGCGGAATTTGAGTGTCCCATCCTATCACTATCACTATCAAACTGTCTTGTCACTTCGTGACACCTGACCACAGACTTGGATCAAGTACAACAAAGTTTGACGAACTGAGAAGAGAAATATAGTGCAAGGCCAACTGGGGCCAATTTATGGTAGGGAGACAATGGGACAGGACAGATCAACAGAGGTAAAACTAGGTTAGGCAAAGTACAAGCAGAGGGACCAAGGGTTTGGGCAGGTTACGACAAACTTTGACACAGCAGGAGTAGAGGGCAGTGCAGAGTGGAGAGAGGATCTATGAGAGGAGAGCAGTGTTGAAGGTATTTAATAGTGCTTGTGTGTCATGAACAGTCTGTGAAATTTGTAAAAAGAAAAGATCGTAACACGCACGTTGTAATTTTCAGGTCTTTGAATTTGCTCACCAACTGCACCAATCAGGTTGAAATTGACACCGGTGGTAGAGGACACCAAACTGCATACTGCCGCAAAGAGTTTTCTTGTTTTAACCCATTACTGTGGGAGATATCCAGCGCTTTGTACTTGTGGGGAAAAAAAAAGTTTCTGACCCGTGCATTGTCACTCTCAGGAAGGATTCAACCGCATGGGAGTTAGTACACTCAAATTCCGCAATGAGTTGGTCATTGACATGTACTGAAAGCATGAGAATGTTGTTCCCTGGCATTTTGAGTGGAAGCCAGGGTCTGCTTCCATGGGGAGAAGTCCTTGGGACTGTAATCACTCAACGAGCCACTTTGTCAAAACAACAAGGAGACTGTTTGAGACCGTAAAGCATCTTCTTCAGCAAAAGTACTTTGTTTACCGGAATATTCAACCCCTCTGGGGCATGAGGATCGTTTCTTCTAAGTTTACCATTTAGGGACGCAGCTTTGATATCCATCTGGTCGCATTCAGAGTCAAAGTGGTTGACAATAGCCAGAAACACTCAAATTGAGTCTTTGTGCGCAACATCAGGAAATGGTTTGTTATAGTCCAGTCCTTCAATTTGACTGTAGCCATTTGCAGCAAAATTTGCTTTGTAGGAAACCAGTTTCTCCTTCGATCTTCTGAATGTGCTCTCAACACCCTTTTGGAATGCGCATTTCTGGGGCTAGATCAATTATTTTCCAGAATTGATAGTCAATAAATCAGGATTTGACAGGTGTATAGTTGAATGCTCTGACCAGTGTTGCGCAAAGTCGCTATTACCACCCGTTGCAAGTAATGTTCACTTCAGTAACCCTCACCCCCTCATTTCACCTTCAACCGACTGGGTCTTAGTGTTTCCAATATCGTCCCCAAGCACTTTCACTAAATCAAAAATCTGATTTGATATTAGATGGTTACTCCAGGAGTAAAGTTGAATTGTGTGACGAGTGTAGCGCAAAGTCACTGTTACGACCTGTTGCCAGTATTTGGAAACCTAATTTGCTCATTTATCCTGCAACTGACAAGACACCAGTGTTTTCAAGATTGCCCCCATGCGCTTTACCTAAGTTAAAAAGCGGATCTAATATTCAATGAGTCCTACAGGATTCAACCCCTGTCGCTCATTCTTGCTCCAGGTGCCAAGGTTCGCGTATTTTTGAGCTCATCCTGTGCTCCAGCTACATCACTAGCCAGATTGGAGATTGGTTCAATAGTTGCAGAGTAAAGTCACCCTTTGTTGCTGGTTTCCCGCAAATTCACTATTACCACCAATCACAAGTATTTTCCGCTTGTTTCAACCCCTGACAGCAGCAAAGGCAGGTCTTGGTAGTGCGTCTTCTGGCTGAGATTTCAAACAAAGCGTGGCACAAAGTATGCTTTCGCATACTCAGCTGCGGATTGTTGTACTTTGCTTGACCATAGCAACCTCAGCATTGATTGTGAATTCATTACACCATGGATCCAACATTTTTCATTTTGTCCTTTCACCCCCATATCTGCAATGAGAATTATTCCGAGTGTCACCTTTGCAGCCTGCTTTCTGTGACTGCTTTCGCTGGTTCTCAGCATGTTGCCACTGCACATGTTCTCCAACTGCCTTTGTCAAGTAAGATCTCCGCTTACTGCAGTGCTGTCTCCACACAATCCATTTTAACCTAACTTGTTTGATGGATGACCTGATCACCAATAAAGTGATATTAGAGATAGGGTGCCAACCTGTCAAATTGACAGGCCCGTCTCCTGCCTCTCAAGCTGGATCCGCAAAGTTGTGAAGCCGTGAACCCGTAGCCTCTCCCTTCTCTCTCTCTCTCTCGCTTGAAGGTAGTGAAGTTGTTGTATGCTTTCTTTCCCTTCTCTGTCTGTCCGTGAATTAGTGGACCGCGGACCCGTGACCTCTCCCTTGTCTCTCTCTAGCTTGTAGATAGCAAGTCTAGTGGAGTTGTGACAGCCTGCTCTCCTTCTCCTTCTCCCTCTCCTTCTCCTACTCTTCTCCCCTTCTCTCTTACTCTCTTTCACTCTTTCTCTCTTTCTCGCTTTATCCTCTCGCTTTATCCTCTCGCTTTATCCTCTCGCTTTATCCTCTCGCTTTATCCTCTCGCTTTATCCTCTCGCTTTATCCTCTCGCTTTATCCTCTCGCTTTTCTCGCGCCTGCGGCCCTCGCCGCTCGCCACGTGGTTTATCCCCCCAAGTTGTCTCGACATCATCTGTTATTATAATAGACTAGTGTTCCAACCCGTGAAATTCACGGGAGCAACTGCAGATGGTCAAGATGAATTTAGTGTATGCCCCAGTTCCCTAGTTGAACCATGCCAAATTTCTCCAAGTTCATGCATAGCATACGCCCCAGTTCCTCACCACCTACAATTCACCCCTCTCCGCCCCAGTTCCCCACATGCGGGAGGCTACTTACACTATATACACTACACACTATAAGTCTAATCTAAACTGCAAACCTATACACATTACATATTAAGCAGCCCTGGCTGCCAAGAGCACATCCTTATACACAATATTCTTCGTCTCACCTCTTCTCCCCTCCTCTGAATCCTCCAGCAAAACCTTGAGACCGTTCTTGAACCGTGCGCGAGAGAGACCAACATACAGCTGACCATGGGTAAATACCGGCTTTGAGAGACATAAGCCAACTGTTGCAAGAGATTGCCCTTGCGCCTTGTTGATTGTGAGAGCAAGACCAACTCGTATGGGAAATTGACTACGACGCAAGGTGAAAGGTAGGTTGGACGATTTTGCTGTGTCGAGTTTGATACGCGGGATGAAACACTTATTCGAATGGAAGTCACCGCCAAGAATGCACCCCTCAATAACATTTGGTAGAAGACGTGTCACATAGATCCGAGTACCGTTGCAAAGACCCGCAGCTGGATCCAAGTTACGAAGTAGAAGAACTGTTCCCCCAACTTTTACAATTGTCTTGTGAAGAGGGAATCCGCCAATTGTGATTGAGTTGAGATATTCAATGGGCCAGAGTTGCTGATTCAAAGGCCGAGCACGCGGGTTTGAAGCACCATCATTCTCCACGATCCAATCCGCACTGAGGTACATCCGAGATTCCCCACTAAGCTGGCCAAGGAGGGTCTTGTTTAATTCATCAACTTCGGCATTGGTTGGTGCAAGAACTGCACGGTCTGCAAAGTACTGAAGAGCAGCTTCTGTTGTCGGAAAACTCTGAGCCAGGTTGGGATAGACATGCTGCAGCAACTCATTTGTGGACTCCACCCGCAATTCCGGAGGTATTCTCAAAGCGTCTGACTGTTCCCCATCTACCAAACCATCCCCTACCCTGAGAAGCCACTCTGCAAACCCACTTGCTTCCTCCCTCTCAATATCAGACAATTCTGCACTCTGGAGCCGCATGTTGATAGTAAGTTTGAGCCGTTTTACCTTCTGCCACAGACGTGAGCTGGTCAAACATGCGCTCTTGATCTGTGCTTGACTCCCTTTTGGCACCACCGGCAAACACTGTCGAAAGTCTCCTGCAAATACCACTACCACCCCACCAAAAGGCTCCTCAGATCCTCGCACATCCCTCAGCATGCGTTCCACTGCCTCTGCACAGTGTCGATGCTGCATGGGCGCCTCGTCCCATATGATCAGCCTGGTACGCAAGAACAGCTTTGCGAGTTCACTTTGCTTTGAGATGCTGCACTGTGAGTCGCCATGAATGTCAATTGGAATTTTGAACCGGGAATGGGCTATGTGTCAACTCTGCACTAAATGAACTCAACACGACTCACCTGTACGGCCACCCTTTAGAAGGATTGCACATATACCTGAAGATCCGACCATCAAGACGATGTCACCTTGCCCTCGCAAAACCGCTGCTACCGTGTTCTCCACAAATGTCTTGCCACAACCACCTGGACCATCAAGGAAAAAACATGCGGGTTTCCGTGCCCTGGTTGCCTGAACTATGTCGTTGATAACTGTTTGCTGTTCCGGATTTGCAAGGGCCATGTTGAGGGTACTGGTCTGTTGCAATTCTCGCATGTCGTAAGCCAATTCCTCATGTATAATGCGGCTATCAGTGTCTTCTGGAAAAACAACTGTTGGTTCAGGCAGATAACATCCTGCCAAACTCTTCCCCCTCTCTTCTAGCAAACCCCCCAGGAGATGCAACGCGTAGGAGAGCCGCTCATCCACACTTGGGTTCTCCATCCATCCCTTCTGCCGAAGCATATGAACACAATCATCACTCAACGCCATCGAGTGTGTCTCCCACAGGTCCGCCGGGCTGGAGGGTTGATTTTCTACCAAAATGATCACAAACAGTCGTCGTAGCTGAAATCCAGAGGCATATGTTGAAGCTTGGGTGAGGCACTCATCAAGATCACGGTCGTCATCAAGTAGGCCAAGCGCAACACAGGCTGCTCGAAAGGTCGGATGCAGAGTATGATCAACGGTACGGAGACTTTCAAAAGATGTTGGGCAGGGAACATGATAGAGCAGAAGTCGCAGATAATAGAGCTCCCCAGATTGAGGACCGGCAAAATACACTCTCCCAATAGCTGTTCCACGTTTCCGAGGCTTCCAAGCACGTTCCTTGGCGTGCCAACAGAGTAACTCGGGTACATCTGCATATATCTTGTCACGGAGTAACTCTGAATAGGTCTCGCAAGCTTTGAAGTACCCCAATAACCGGCTGTTCCGCTGAAGTTCCTCTGGTAGATTTGCACGTTCGTCTTCAGGCACAAATTGCACTTGATCTTCGTCTGGAAGATGGAGCTGAAGTCGTTCAACGGGTGGAAAGTGTCCATGCATGGGATTACCGCTCAGTCGCCAAACCGCTGATACAATGTTAGCTCAGCAGTACAATCCTCCCTATGACTCACATTCGGATGCTGAAACCCAGCGCGCATCCACATACCGATTGATTTCATCGAGATCCACTTGATTAGGAACCACTGCCACATTTGCCCGATCATGACCCTTGTAGACATATTTGAACATATACTTCACTGCACTGATTGAAGTGCACACCTCAACATTGATATGGGCGTTGAACCGAGCTGATAAATACGGATTATACGGAACCACATGCTGATTTGTATATGTAATGCGATTCTTGGTCCATGACCGCCCATTATCTCGTCTTCTGTAAATAGGGTAGCCATCCTGTTCCATTGTTGTCTCTGGTTGAAAAGCCCAGGGGAACTTCTTTGAACATCGGCCATCACGACGCATCTGGGCTTGGCATCGATCACTGCAGGTATGCAGCATACAGGACGTAACAACCTTGAAAAGCACAGGCTGAGTATCCTCACAGGGGAGTTCAGCACATACAATCTTGTCAACATCGGCCGGTGTGCGAGGCTTATTGTCTGGTGTAAGGCACATGAGCAGATGACAATGTGGAAGTCCCCGTTTTTGAAATTCGATCACCCAGATTCTTGCAACCACCTTCAGATCAGTAAACACTCAGCAGGAAATAATAACCAAACACACCTTTCCCAATACTCCCAGTTTGAAAAACTCGTGCAGCATAGCGTCAAGCTTGAGTGCAAAGACTCTTGAAACCAAGTCGGGGCGGTCTTGGGCGGTCTGTCCTGGTTCCAACTCTTGGGTGATCTCCGGCCAAGTGGGATTGCAGGTGATTGTTACAAATAGGTCAGGCTTTGTCACGTGTGAGACAATAGCCATGGCGTCCTGGTACAGGGCGTGCATCTGACGTGGCGAACCGGCAAATGTTGAGGGGAGCACCACTTTTTTGCCTACATCAGCCAAAGGAATCCCAGCATCAACCGCATCAACCAATCCCTTGTAAGATTCAGCTCGGAGAGTGGTTTGATTCTCTCGGATCCATCGCAGACGATTTGATTCGGTCTGGGCCCACTGATCCACCAATAGCTCCTGAAAGAGTCGCCCACAATAGAGTGCGGTGTTGAAATTGCCCGATCGTTTGAAGAGGTAATAGGTTGCAAATTGTGCTTGAGTCACTCGCTTAGATCCTCCACGCCCATAGCGTCTTACTTCAGCTACCAATCCACCATCTCCAGCATTTCCATCCTCAATATCTTCCCCCTCACCAATCTCGTCATCATCTCCCAGTGGTTGCCCAGCCAAAGGGATCCTTGGATGCCATCCCGGCTCTCCATGCGGGTATATAAGAGTGAAATGCAGGGGAAGATATGCTGAGTGCAGTTCACTAATGTTGCGAACCCCACCGCCTCGCAGATATACTTGAATGTGACGACCTGGGGACGGTTCATTTTCATTGGCAACATATACACATGCAACTTCGTCTGACGTAGGTCGGTTATATCTGCGAGGGTCATTTTGCAGAGGATTCAGAACTGTAAGATACAGAATCGGCGTGTCCTCTTCGGATTCCCTGTCACGGTCACGGAAAGTCTTGAAAGCAGCATAGTATGGGTTCACCCTTTCTATCATTTGAGCCAGGCGGGTCAGAACACCCTCTTCACCTCTCCCTCGGATGTGAATGTTTCGCTGAGCAGCCTGTTCTGCTTCAGATAGACCCGCCAGGAAGACTTGAGCAAATCGGGGATGTTCTCCAGCTTCAGGGAGTAATGCCCCAATTTGGTGGTATGCTCGTCCGCCAATACGAAAGGTGTATATCCCTTGAGGTCCCCAAACTTGCATGTCTTGCTTATCAACACCCATTGAGGTGAAAGCAAGAGAATTATTGTAATTTCGGAGCTGCTCCCGCCGCAGCTTACCTTCTGATGACAGTCAGTGTTCCATCCATTGAATTGACTAATGCCAGCTTACGATGTGTTTGATCTGTTAAGAGATCTCGAAGTTCCAGTGGAGGGTCCAATGGAAGTGGGAGTTGCACAGCCCCATTTGAGCAACAGCCAGAAAACAGGGGATTAGCCAAAGATGAGCGTTCCCCTCCCGCGGCGATGTTGATAGCACGTTCCTCAAGCCAGTGTAACGCGGCACATTTCGGACATGGCACCTCACAGCGGCCCAGCCAGTGAACAGATGTCCCATCAGTGTAGTCCTGCCGAGCACGGCAATGTGAGAGAGCATGTTCCCGGTCTTGCCTGGATTGCTGTCCAGCTTGTCTTCGAGAAAGAACGGTGTTTTCGCCCATTGGAGGTGGATCCATGTCCATGTCATCATTATGTCCAACATCTGTCAATTGTCGACTGCCCCGCTCCCTTTCACGCCGTGCTCGCTGTGCAAGCTGACGGCGGCTTAGCCCCTGTAGGCTCATGATGTAATGTAGAAAGATTTATATATGAGGTTATGTAAGAATCTAAAAGCTCAGCCCAATTCAAATAGTATGGAAGGCAACTGACGGGTATGGTGCAAAGGGGTGCACGGTGTGAACGGGGTCTTGAGAGTCGCCTCGGAGAGCCCCTTGAATGGTCGCAATAACAGTGTAAAGGTGCACGGTGTGAACGGGGATGCGAGTCACCTCGGAGAGCCCCGTGAATGGTCGCAATAACGGTGTAAAGGTGCACGGTGTGAACGGGGATGTGAGTCGCCTCGGAGAGCCCCGTGAATGGTCGCAATAACAGTGTAAAGGTGCACGGTGTGAACGGGGATGCGAGTCGCCTCGGAGAGCCCCGTGAATGGTCACAATAACGGTGTAAAGGTGCACGGTGTGAACAGGGTTGCGAGTCGCCTCGAAGAGCCCCGTGAATTGTAGCCTAAAATGACACGGACCGGGGACGTCCAAATTCTTCTCCCCTATAGGTGGCAGAGAAGTCAGTGGAGCAGGTTACATGTGACGGAACCCCCTGAGCGCGAAAAAACGCGAGAAAACGCAAAAAAAGTCGATTTTGGCTGCGTTCACCCCCTATTTAGGGGATTTTGGGCGATCGAAAACTCGGTTCAATTACGCTTTTCCCCCACTACACACACAGGTTCCGACAGGTCAGACAGGTTCTGACAGGTCAGACAGGTTCCGACAGCTCAGGGTATGCATGAGACATCTCGCGATCCCCCTACTCGCGATCCCCCTACTCGCAATCCCCCTACTCGCGATCCCCCTACTCGCGATCCCCCTGCTCGCCCCCCTGTTCGCGCGCACGCGACTCCCACGTGGTTTGTCTCGAAAGTTAGCCTCTCATCATCTGTTATTATAATAGATCAAGTGTGCTGGCTGCTACTATGATAACATGGATTGCTTGACAATGCCATTGCCAACTAACACTCTCATGGATACGGATTGCAGAGGAAGAGAGCGTCTTGTTTCCGAACTTGTCAAGAATGCATAGTCCACAAGGCAGTGCATCCTCAATGTTTATAAATGGTCATGGAGGTATGGAAATGGACAGGATAGTTTCCATGTTAAAGTAAATCCGTAACTTTGCACAACACTTGTCACAAAATTCACCTTTACTCTTGTAGTATCCATCTAATATCAAATCTGCTTTTTGATGTAAGTAAAGAGCATGGGGGCAATCTTTGAAAGACCAAGCCCTGATTGCAGGGAGGATGAGTAAATTTGAGTCTCCAAAGCAAATGGTGCTTGCAACAGGTAATAACAATAACTTTGCAAAACACTCGTCACAGTATTCAACTTTACTCCTGTAGTATCTAAGTAATATCAAATCGGATTTTTGATATAGTTAAAGCGCATGGGGGCGATACTGGAAACACTGAGAGCCAGTTGCGGTTGCAAGGTAAATGAGCAAATTAGGTTTTTTGAATACTTGTGACAGCTGGTAACAGCCAACTTTGTGCCACATCTGTCAACAAATTACTCCTGTTTCTCAAGTTCCTACTCTGGAACTTACACCACATATGCTTGGTAGTGGCGCGGATATTCACTCTAAAAATCAGTCAAATTCGACTTGCAGGGACTGAGATAATCAAAAAGCAAATCCAAATTTCACAACTATCTCAATTGGAGTGGAAAAGATTCAAAATGAAATTGCACAAGACCCACCAAGCGAAATGAACCAAAATCAAGCTCAGCAATCCGGGCGCATACAAACTCTCTTTGAACAACTTGAGGAGCAAAAAAACACTCAGAATCAAGAGTTTGTACGAAATCTTGAACCTGATCCCAAACGTCAAAATGCAATTGGCAACTTGTGTCCTGGTGGTACCAAGCGACAAGATCCAGATGACATTCGGTGCAAAAGTGAAAAGCGACTTTCTCATCTTCAACCATTTGGGTGTAAAGTCTACCACCGTGACCATAAACAAAGCAATAAACTTGCGCAACGCTATCGCGAGGGACAACTACTTGGTTACCAAGACGGTACAAACAACTTTCGCATTTTGGACACTCTCACACAGAAGATTTGGGTCACAAGAGATGTCATTTTTGCTACAAAATCGGATTTCTCCGGAGTTCCAGAAGTTCCTGAGCTAGAACTTACACCACAGGTTATCGGTAGTGGGGCGGATATTCACCGCAAAAATCAGTCAAATCCGTCTTGCAGGGACTTAGATATTCAAAAAGCAAATTCAAAATTCACAACAATCTCAATTGGAGTTGAAAAAATTAGAAATGACATTGCGCAAGACCCACAAGACGAAATCAACCGAAATGAAGCTCAGCCATTGGGGCGCATACGAACTCTCTTTGAGCAACTCGAGGAGCAAAGAAACGCACAGAATCAAGAGTTTTTACGAAATCTTGAACGTGATCCTAGACGTCAGGATGCAATTGCGCAACGACAATTTGCGCAAAATTTGCAAGATGAAGAATCCTCTTCCTCATCTGGAAGTTCAGATGAACTAAACCTCCATGATGATGATAACTCATTCAGTCTTGCAGCTCATGCGCTTGCAGCCACAAATCTACCCAACTCCTATCGAGAAGCGCAAAATACAGGTGAATGGGAATGTTGGAGAAAAAGCATGGATGAAGAACTTGCAAAAATGTCAAAGTACAAAGTCTGGATCGCCATTCTGAATCTCCCCCATCTTCTGATGCGCCTACAGAGAGTAAATTTCGGTCCAAACCAGGAACTAAAAGCGTGTTTGGAAACTCCACCTCGTTTATGACTAGTGTACCTGCTTGTGTACATGGTAGAATAGCAGAATTTCCGAATTTTACGCGAGCTGGAGGGATTGAATGAATTGATGAAAGCGAATTTTTGTCATTACACATGTGGTGTGAAGCGCCAGAGTCCACTACGAATATACACTTCGGATTTTCGGCTGCTAAAGCGATGGGGTCATCTGCAGTAGCGACAGCAGTGAGAAAAGCGCTCGCATCGGAAAGATAAGCGATATCGGCTGTCGCTTTTCAGGTATCTTGTGATTCTTTGAATGATTTTGATTCTGTTGAAGCGACATTTGCGCTTTTCGAAGTTTTGCTCTTGTTTCTAAAACAGTTTTCGGTGGAATGACCGGTTTTCTGATGAATAGAGCAGTATTTCGAATGATCTGCTGGTGGAAATCGATCAAATGGTTTCTTTGGGTTTTGAAAAGTTGATTTAGAGCGAAATTTCGATTTTGCAAACATTCCAGTTGCACTTTCTCCCTCAGTTTTTCTCCTACTCCATTCCGCTTGAACTCCAGCCTGTACTTCACTTGAAGATAGCGATTCCCTGAGCCAAAGCGTCTGTTTAAGCGTTGTAAACGATTCTGGAAGCGCCAATGTCATAGCATAGGCTAACATCTTGTCTGAAAGATTTTCTCCAGCCGAATTCAACTGTGCATGTGCACTGCGCTGTGCTGCAAGCGCAGGCATTGGATCCTCCCCTTTTAAAATCGTTTTTCGAGCCATTTCTTGGAATAAGGCAGCCTGCCTGGCTCCAACAGCTGCAGAGTACTGTTTCTTAATCTCCTCCCAAAGCGATTTCGGATTTGGCGATTTCCAGTCCTTAACGCCGGTAGGAAGTGCTGAGGAAATTGTTTCTGAAAGGGATTGGAAAATTATTGAGTATGCTTTCGCAAATTTGAGACGTTCCTTGATGTTTTCCTTATATTTCAAGTCTTTAGATGGCGGTTCGGTGTCAATATACGGTAGTAATCCCTTGCCCATAAGTGTGGTAGCGATATGAGCTTCCCATTGCGCATAATTCTCGCTTCCTCGCAATTTTACAATTTTAACTTTTACTTCGGTGTCAGATGAGTCGGACATTTTTTGAGATCGAATATCTCAATAACGAATGGAGGAACAGAGCTGATTTTAGATGTGGTGGTAGACACAATGTGTTCCTACAGGTGTAGTAAAATTCAGCCCAGTCGGTTCGAAGTGGACCAAGTAAAACGAGAAAGACGATTTTTGCGATTGTAAATTTGGATTGTGGTGTCAAATTTACCAAATCGAGATAACTTTGACACGACTGAAGCTACGATGCTGAGATCGAGGGTGGTGATAGACACGATGGTAGCGGATAGGTGGACGGAATGGGAGGCCGAAAGTGGGAGTATTGATTGAGATAATGGAAAAGCGATATTTTTCCAAATGTAAATCAGCTGAAGTTCAAACAACAAGGAATAGACTCTCAGAGTGACTCAGCTGATTGCCAGGCGCGCTTGGTATGTCCTAGGACTCAGAGGCGCGCCACTGGGGTGTCCAGATTCGTCTACACCGCTGTATCTAACTAAAGCGATACACGATGCACCTCCCACAATAAAGCAGGTCCGGTTTCAGGAACAAGAAGAGAGTAATGAATGCGAGAAAAAGCGAAAGTGTGGAAGTGATTTCGACTTTTCACCTGCGCTTCTGCAGGACTTGCCTTCACTCCCAGCCGAGAGCGTTGATACCAGAGGCTTGCTGTAAAGCGTGGGTTTGAGGAATAAGAAAGCGAAAATTTAAAAGTGATGAGGGAATAAATGAAGATAGCAAGTTGTCAATTTCGTACAATCTCGGTTTTCTCTTCAACCAGTGATCCAAACTTTGATTTGTCTTTTGATATGAATAGTCGGTAGTTGCGGACAGGATCAGGCGAAGAGATTTAAAAAATTCGATAAGAATTGATGGAATGGGGTTAAAAGCGAGATTTTGGGGTGGTATTGAAGTAATTGGAATTCTCGATTTTGAATTTTTGGTCTGCTGGTTCAACCTGTCAGATGTAGAAAGTAGAATGCATAAAGAGAAAAAGTACAATATTGACAGAGGTGAAAGAGACGAGGGAATACGCGGAAATAGCGGAAGCGCTCCAATGTGGCAGTTACCGATTGCACTATTTCCGACACCCCCACTCAAGCGGATCTGCCACATACCCCTAATAACTCCCTCAGTCTATCAAATGTATCTGAAGGAAGAGCCTTTGTCAATAAGTCAGCCATATTCTCTGCTGAGGGAACATGTGACAGAGAGACAGTGTTATCTTCAACTTTCTCCCGAATATAATGATGTCGCAGGTCAATATGTTTTGTCTTGTTATGATGAACCGGATTCTTGGCAAGAGCTATAGTTCCCGCATTATCATTGAGGAGTTTCAAAGGTTCTTGACCAAGTCCAAGTCCCAAATCATCCAGAAGTTGTCTTAACCATACAGCTTGGCGTGTAGCATCTGATGCTGCCATGTATTCCGCTTCTGTTGTTGAAAGCGCAACTGTAGGCTGTCTCCTACTTTTCCAAGCAACAACTCCACCATAAACTTTAAAGACATATCCAGTGGTTGATCTTCTAGTGTCCAAATCTCCTCCCCAATCTGCATCTGCATAACCTAATGCAATACGATTGCTATTCTCTTTGTTGAAGGTGAGACAAAGATCAGAAGTACCACGGATATAACGGAGTAGGTGTTTGACCGCTTTCCAATGTGAGTCATTCCATTTACTAAGGAATCTAGATAAGAGACTAGCTGGGAAAGCAAGATCAGGTCGAGTTATGGTTGAAGCATAGAGAATAGCCCCCACTGCTTGGGCATATGGGTAGTGTTTTGCTTCTTCATGTTCTTCATCTGTTGCAGGGATTGGACGAAATCCAGAAGGTAGAGGAGTTTTTGCAGGATTGCAATCTTTCAAGTCAAACCTTTCAAGAAGTGATTCAAAGTAATGTTCTTGAGACATAAACAGTTTGTGATTTGTTCTATCACGGTGAATGTTGAAACCAAGAAAGTATCCAACTGGACCAGAGTCTGAACACTCAAATTCTGAATTAAGTGCCGCTTTGAAGTTGTCCAACATAGTTCGATTGTTACATGCGATGAGTTGATCATCAACATGTACCGAGAGCATGAGAATATTATCTCCTTCACGCTTTGAATAGAAACAAGGATCTGCTTTTGTAGGAAGTAGTCCTTGAGACTGTAACCACTTATCAAGTGCTTTGTTGAAACATCGTGGTGATTGTTTCAAACCATAAAGTGACTTGCGCAACCAAAGTACTTTGTTTGCTGGGATGTTGGATCCTTCTGGTGGTTGCATGTAGATTGTTTCTTCTAATTCCCCATTCAGGAATGCTGCTTTGATATCAACTTGATCACATTCAAGATCAAAGTGGTTGACAATTGCAAGGAAAACTCGAATTGAATCTTTGTGCGCAACAGCAGCAAAGAGTTCATTGTAGTCCAATCCTTCCACTTGATTGTAACCTTTTGCCACAAAGCGAGCTTTGTAGGTAGATGGGAGACCAGTTTCTCCGTCTATCTTGCGAGTATACACCCATCTCCCCTTTAAAATGCGCATTTTTGGATCCAAGTCCACAACTTCCCAGACTTTGTACTTTGACATTTTTTCAAGTTCTTCATCCATGCTTTTTCTCCAACATTCCCATTCACCTGTATTTTGCGCTTCTCGATAGGAGTTGGGTAGATTTGTGGCTGCGAGTGCATGTGCTGCAAGACTGAATGATGTATCATCATCATGGAGGTTTAGTTCATCTGAACTTTCAGATGAGGAAGAGGATTCTTCTTGTTGCAAATTCTGCGCAAATTGTCGTTGCACAATTGCATTTTGACGTCTGGGATCACGTTCAAGATTTCGTAAAAACTCTTGATTCTGTGCGTTTCTTTGCTCCTCAAGTTGCTCAAAGAGAGTTCGTATGCGCCCCAATGGCTGAGCTTCATTTCGGTTGATTTCGTCTTGTGGGTCTTGCGCAATGTCATTTTTAATTTCTTTAACTCCAATTGAGATTGTTGTGAATTTTGAATTTGCTTTTTGATTATCTATGTCCCTGTAAGACGGATTTGATTGATTTTTGCGGTGAATATCTGCTCCACTACCAATAACATGTGGTGTAAGTTCCAGATCCAGAACTTCAGGAACTTTGGAGAAATCTGATTTTGTAGCGAAAATGACATCTCTTGTGATCCAAATTTTCTGTGTGAGAGTGTCCAAAATGCGAAAGTTGTTTGTACCTTCTTGGTAACCGAGTAGTTGTCCCTCACGATAGCGTTGCGCAAGTTTATTACTTTGTTTATGATCACGGTGGTAGACTTTACACCCAAAGGGTTGAAGATGAGAAAGTCGCTTTTCGCTTTTGTACCAAATGTCATCTGGGACTTGTCGCTTTGGACCACCAGGACACCGATTGCGCGTATAAGCAATGTAATTTGCCGCTTCTGCCCAGTACTTAGCAGGAAGCCCAGAATGCGCCAGGACTGTGCGAACTCCATTGAGAATTGTAAGGTGAAGTCGTTCTGCACGTCCATTTTGTGTATGCGCATCTGGAGGTACTTGGATGTGTTGAATACCATGTGTTGCGCAAAAGTTCCTCATTGCCATAGAACTGAATTCTCCACCATTATCAGAGCGAAGTGTTTTAACTTTAGTGTCAAGTTGTCTTTCTACTTTTGCAATATGATGTTGTAATTGCTCAAAAGCGTCTGATTTGTGTTTGAGAAAGTAAAGATGTACTTTTCGGGTGAAGTCATCATAACAAGACAGGAAGTAAAGCGCTCCACTAAGAGATGGAGTTCTGGCTGGTCCCCACAGATCAAGATGAATGACTTGCAGGGGTTCAGTAGCACGAATTTCGCTTGGAATTGATGGTAATCTCCGTCCTTTTCCAACCACACAACTTCTGCACTGGAAATCTTTTGCATGAGAGTTTGTAAATTCACATCCTAACCGTCCTGACTTTGACAGATTTACTAAAGCGCCAGCATTAAGGTGTCCGAGTCGCTCGTGCCAGTCTAGGAATAGGTCAGCTGTGGAAGCGAGATTTGCGTATGAATCGCTTGCCTGTAGGAGATAAAGTCGATTGTGCTTGTGCGCAGAGAGAAGAACTTGATGATTCTTGCAGAAAGTCGCAATTCCCTTTCTGAAGCGCCATTCTGAATCTCCCCCATCTTCCGATGCGCCTACAGACAGCAAATTTCGGTCCAAACCAGGTACTAAAAGCGTATTTGGGAAGTACACACCGTTAATGACTAAAGTACCAGCTTGTTTACATGGTAGAATGGCCGAATTTCCGAATTTTATGCGAGTTTCATTAATGGAATGAATTGAAGAAAGTAAATTTGAGTCATTACACATGTGATGACTTGCGCCTGAGTCTACCACAAATATTGACTTGGAACTTGCAGATAAAGCGATAGGATCGTCCGCCGTCGCAATCGCAGTGACAAAAGCGCTTGCGTCTGAAAGATACGCGATATCGGCAGTTACTTTTGTAGTTTCGGTACTTTCTTTGGATTCTTTAGTTGCAAAATTTGCGCTTTTTGAAATTTTGGGTTTACTTTTACAATCTTCGGTTGAATGACCGGTTTTACGATGAAATGAACAGTATTTCGAGTGATCTGCAGGTGGAAATCGCTCAAAAGATTTTTTCTGGTTGTTAAAACTCGATTTTGAGCGAAATTTTGATTTCGCGAACATTCCAGTTGCGCTTTCTCCCTCAGTTTTCCTCCTACTCCATTCTGCTTGAACTCCAGCCTGTACTTCGCTTGAAGATAGCGATTCTCTAAGCCAAAGCGTCTGTTTAAGCGTTGTAAACGACTCTGGAAGCGCCAATGTCATAGCATAAGCTAACATTTTGTCTGACAAGTTCTCCCCAGCCGAATTTAACTGTGCATGTGCACTGCGCTGTGCTGCAAGCGCAGGCATCGGATCCTCCCCTTCTGAAATCGTTTTTCGAGCCATTTCTTGGAAAAGCGCAGCTTGTCTGGCTCCAACAGCTGCAGAGTACTGTTTCTTAATCTCCTCCCAAAGCGATTTCGGATTTGGTGATTTCAAGAGATTGTTTCTGAAAGCGATTGAAAGATTATCGAATACGCTTTTGCGCTTTTCAGACGATCTTTGATGTTTTCCTTATCTTTCAAGTCTTTAGATGGCGGTTCGGCGTCGATATACGGTAGTAATCCTTTGCCCATAAGTGTGGTAGCGACATGAGCTTCCCATTGCGCATAATTCTCGCTTCCTCGCAATTTTACAATTTTCACTTTTACTTCGGTGTCAGATGAGTCGGACATTTTTCGAGATCGAATATCTCGATAAGGAATGAAGGAACGGAGCTGATTTTGGATGTGGTGGTAGACGCAATGTGTTACTACAGGTGTAGTAAAATCCAGCCCAGTCGGTTTGAAGTGGACCAAGTAAAACGAGAAAGACGATTTTTGCGATTTTAAATTTGGATTGTGGTGTCAAATTTACCAAGTCCAGATAACTGTTGGAAATGGTACAATCGGCTAACTGCCACATTGGAGCGCTATCGCTATTTCCGCGTATTCCGGGAGAAGTAAGAGGACTGGAGGTGGAGTATTGATTGAGATAATGGAAAAGCGATATTTTCCGAATGTAAATCAGCTGAAGTGCTCTTAAGACGACATCTTATTGCTCCCGACACCCCCTGCGGTCCCTCCAGCATTAGAATCAGTAGAACTATCAGTAGCGCCACTGGGGTGTCCAGATTCGTCTACACCGCTGTATCTGACTAAAGCAATAATACACAATGCACCTCCCACAATTAAGCAGGTCCGGTTTTAGGAATAGAGAGGAGTAATGAGTGAAAGAGAAAAGCGAAAAGTGTGGAAGTGATTTCGACTTTTCACCTGCGCTTCTGCAGGACTTGCCTTCACTCCCAGCCGAGAGCGTCGATACCGATACCAGAGGCTTGCTGTAAAGCGTGGGTTTGATGAATAAGAAAGCGATAATTTAAAAGGTGATGAGGGAATAAGGAAAAAGCGAGTTTTTAATTTATGAAATATCGATTTTCTCTTCAACCAGCAATCCAAACTTCAATTTGTCTTTTGATACGAATAGTTGGTAGTTGCGGACAGGATCAGGTGAAGAGATTCGATAATTCCGATAGGAATTGATGGAATGGAGTTAAAAGCAAAATTTTTGGAGTTGTAATGAAGTGATTGAAATTTTCGATTTTGATTTTTGTTCTCCTGCTTTGACCGCTGCTCCGATTTACGATTTGATTTCAGATATAGATAGAGCACGGTGGAGAGAGGTGTAGGAAAGACAGAGAGCGATAAGATTGGTGGTAAATTGGGGAAATGAGAACAAGAGGTCGAATTTGAGATTCAAATGATGAGGTTTGGAAATTCAATCTTGTAATTTTGCACTGCTGGTTCAACCGTTCCACGAAAATCGAATCCGTTTGATGATCTAGAGAGTGCGCTGTGAGGCGGTTCAGGAAATGTTAAGAGCGATGGAATTGGAGCAGAATTGAGGTGAAGAGGATATAAGGTCGCTTTGTGAGTGTAGAAGATGTCTTATTATTGCTCACAAAAATTCCGACTTTGTAGTTGATCTCCTGTCCCAACCGCTTTTGCAAACTTCAATCTCTTTCCCGTTCTGATAATCTCCTACTGTCCCCTTTCTTATGATCCAAAGAGCGATGTATTTCGTTCAGAATTGACTGAGTTGTGTTGAAAAAGCGATTTTTGCTGGTAAAGGAGGGATATTACAGTCGAAAATTTTCACTTTCGATCTATCTCGCTATTTGTGAATGTTATCGGTCTACTCTTTTCGGTAAAGGTGAAAACAGTGACGCTCTGTTCAGATCCGGAGAGATATCGAGAATCGGAGCAGTATTGGAGGAGATAGAGTGAGAGTGAGAAAAGCGATTTGAAGCGAAATTTTGAGTTGAGTTGATGATTCTACTGATAGTTCTACTGATTCTAATGCTGGAGGGACCGCAGGGGGTGTCGGGAGCGATTAGATAGTGTCTTAAAGAAGTGATTCAGGCTCATAACCTGTCAGATGTAGAAAGTAGAATGCATAAAGAGAAAAAGTACAATATTGACAGAGGTGAAAGAGACGAGGGAATACGCGGAAATAGCGGAAGCGCTCCAATGTGGCAGTTACCGATTGCACTATTTCCGACACAACCGTTCCACCGAAATCAAATCTGGTTGTAGATCTAGAGAGCGCACAGTAAAGTGATTCAGGAGATGTTGAGAGCGATGAAATCGGTGTAGAATTGAGGTAAAGAGGATAAAAGGTTGCTTTGTGAGTGTAGAAGATGTCTTATTATTGCTCACAAAAATTGCGACTTTGTAGTTGATCTCCTGTCCCAACCGCTCTTGCAAACTTCAATCTCTTTCCCGTTCTGATAATCTCCCACTGTCCCCTTTCTTATGATCCAAAGAGCGATGTATTTCGTTCAGAATTGACTGAGTTGTGTTGAAAAAGCGATTTTGCTGGTAAAGGAGGGATATTACAGTCGAAAATTTTCACTTTCGATCTATCTCGCTATTCGTGAATGTTGTCGGTCTACTCTTTTCGGTAATGGTGGAAACAGTGACGCTCTATTCAGATCCGAAGAGATATCGAGAATCGGAGCAGTATTGGAGGAGATAGAGTGAGAGTGAGAAAAGCGATTTGAAGCGAAAAGCGAAATTTTGAGTTGAGTTGATGATTCTACTGATAGTTCTACTGATTCTAATGCTGGAGGGACCGCAGGGGGTGTCGGGAGCGATTAGATAGCGTCTTAAAGAAGTGATAAAACGTCTTAAAGAAGTGATTCAGGCTCATAACCTGTCAGATGTAGAAAGTAGAATGCATAAAGAGAAACTACAATATTGACAGAGGTGAGAAATGAAACGAGGGAATACGCGGAAATAGCGAAAGCGCTCCAATGTGGCAGTTACCGATTGCTCTAATTCCGACAGTTCGAACAAACTAGCCTTTGGAACACTCCTCTGCTCTGACGCCTGGTAGACGTTGGTGCCTGTATCTCTTTCCTGCTTGACAGCAGAGGCTGTTCGAAAGGCTCGTTCGTTCGAGACATCCGTGGGAACGAGTACTCAGCTACAAATGAGCCGATTTCCAATCTGACCCTTGATGTAGCTAGAGCGCATGGGGGCAAGCTCAAAAACACCAAAACCTAATTACCTGAGGCAAAAATGAGCAACAAGGGTTGAAACAAGCGAAAAATGCTTTTGACTGGCAGTAATGGTAATTTTGCGCAGAACCGTTCACAAAGCGTGTGTTTACTCTGCTACTATTGAAGCAATCTCCAATCTGATTTTTCCGGTAGCTGGAGCGCATGGGGGCGAGCTCGAAAACACCAAAATGTAATTACCTGGAGCAAAATTGAGCGACAAGGGTTGAAACAAGCAAAAAATCCTTCCAATCGGCAGTAATAGTAATTTTGCGCAAAACCGTTCACAAAGGGTGTATTTACTCTGCTGCTATTGAAGCAATCTCTAATCTGATTTTCGATGTAGCTAGAGCGCATGGGGGCGAGCTCGAAAACACCCAGACCTGGTAACCTGCAGCAAAAATGAGCGACAGAGGCTGAAACAAGCGGGAAATACTTGCAACTTGTAACTTTGCAGCACAAAAGGACTCAAATTTGGTTTTGGAACCACAAAGAGTACCAACTCACAATCAAGTTGAAAGTATCCCACCGCCTATTTCGCAAAACCACACTTTGGACAGACACTCAGCTGAGAGACGCACTACCATGCTCTGCATTCTGCTGCTATTAGCGCCCACATTGCGGAACTCAGAACGAAAGACAATAGCAATTTATGATCAATAGTAAGGTTGCTACTGTCAGCAATGGTAGAACTGGTAACTCTCACATTGGTGCCCTGTTGCCATTTCCGCATATCTTTTTGTCACATATCTAAACTCTGTACATATTGTACTCTTCATTCTACCTTCTACATTTGGTAGGTTATGAGCTTGAGTACCCTTTCTCAGCGTCCTCCGCCGTATCAACAGTGCTCCTGTCACCCTTAGAGGTCCCTCCAGCACTACAATCATCATTAGGATCTTCATACCGGCCGAGATTACATCGAACTAGTCGATATCAAGATTTATGATGATTCCGCAATGTCTCACTGAATACTCCTTCTACTCGGTTACCAAGAGGTGAACAAACAACTCTCGCATTTTTGGACACACTCAAAGTGACAAAACTTGCATCACAAGAGATGGCATTTTCGCTTCAAAGTTGGATTTCTCCAAAAGTCCTACAGCTCCCAATCTCCAACTTGTGGATCACAATGCGGACAATAGCAATAACATCCGATCCACATATCAACTTACCAATACCAACGGTCATCCTGCAAATTGAAACGAAAATCCAAATTTTACAAAACAACAATTGGAGACCAAAAAGAGAAAAGTGATACTGTGCCCGAACCAATTGATAAAATTGGCCAAACCAATGCACAACCACTGGGGCGCATACAAATTCTACTTGAGCAAGCAACAAAAGACTCACTCACAATGGACAGTTATTACAAAACCTTCAGCGCTATTCTAGACACCAAAATGCTGGTTGGCAAGACAGCCAATTTGATCAACATGGACAAACAACACAATCTGCATCTCATTTGTCTTCTTCAGACGCCAATTCTACTTCTTTAATAGAACCAAACCTGCATGATGATGATACCTTGTCCAGTCTCTATGCAGACACGCTTGCAGCAAATAATCTGCCAGACTCATACTGTGAAGCCCAGAACATGAGTGAATGGGAATGTTGGTGAAAAAGTAAATGTCAGAGTACAAAGTATGGGAAGAAGTCATCTTGTTTCCAAACTTGTCAAGAGTGTGTAGTCTATTAGGCAGTGCATCCTCAATGTTATCCAAAGGTCATGGAGGTTTAGAAATGGACAGGATAGTTTGCATGTCACAAACATAGGCAGAGTCCGTAACTTTGCGCAACACTCCTCACTAGATTCGATTTTACTCCTGGAGTATCCATCTAATGTCAAATATGCTTTTTAATATCGTCAAAGCGCATGAGGGCGATCTTGACAGCACAAGACCGAGTCGTTTGCCGGGTAAATGAGCAGGAACTGTAACTTTGCACAACACTTGTCTCAATTGGAGTTGAAAAGATTGGAAATGAAATTGCGCAAGACCCACAAGACGAAATCGACCAAAATGAAGCTCACCCATTGAGGCGCATACAAACTCTCTTTGAGCAACTCGAGGAGCAAAGAAACGCACAGAATCAAGCGTTTTTACAAAATCTTGGATGCAGAATTTGGATCACAAGAGATGTCATTTTCGCTACAAAATCCGATTTCTCCAAAGTTCCTGTAGTTTCTGATCTAGAACTTACACCACATATTATTGGTAGTGGCGCAGATATTCACCGCAAAAATTAGTCAGATCCGTCTTGCAGGGACTTAGATAATCAAAAAGCAATTTCAAAACTCACAACAATCTCAAATGGAGTTGAAAAGATGAGAAATGAAATTGTACAAGACCCCCTAGACGAAATCGACCGAAATGAAGCTCACCCATTGGGACGCATACAAACTCTCTTTGAGCAACTCAAGCAGCAAAGAAACACACAGAATCAAGCGTTTTTACAAAATCTTGGACGTGATCCTAGACGTCAAAATGCAATTGCGCAAGTGATTTTGCACACAACTGCTCCCACAATCCAACTTTCCTCTACTAGGATCAATTGAATCTCAAATCTGTTTTGTGATATAGGTAGGGCGCATGTGGGCGGTCCTGACAACACGAGGGCCTGGTGGATCAGAGGGGAACTGATCCCGTGGGGTTGGGAAAAGTGAAAAATACACGCAATAGGTGGTAAAGGTGATTTTGCACACAACTGCTCACACAATCCAACTTTCCTTTACTAGGATCAATCAAATCTCAAATCTCTTTTGTGACATAGATAGAGCGCATGTGGGCGGTTCTGAAAACACAAGCGCCTGGTGGATTGGAGGTGAACTGACCATGTGGGGGTGGGTAAAGAGAAAAACTACACTTATCAGGTAGTAAAGGTGATTTTGCGCAAACCTGCTTACAAAATCCAGCATTTCTCTGGTAGGATCAATCATAAAGCGACTTGCAAAACCAAAGTACTTTGTTTGCTGGGATGTTGAAACCTTCTGGAGTTTGCATGTAGATTGTTCCCTCCAATTTTCCATTTGAAAACGCTGCCTTGATATCAACTTGGTCGCATTCAATGTCAAAGGGATTCACGACTGCTGAAGAACACTTGAATTGAGTCTTTGTGCACAACGGCAGCAAAGACCTTGTTGTAGTCCAATCCTTCAACTTAATTGTAGCTTTTTGCAACGAAGTGAGCATTGTAGGCAAGGCCTCTTTCTCCATCAATCTTATGGGTATACACTAAGCGTCTCATGAAAATGTGCATTTTTGGCTCAAGATGAACTTACCATAACTTTGTACTTATCCATACTGTTTCTCCAAGTTTCCCAATTGCCTGTATTTTGCGCCTCAAAATATGAGATAAGTAGATTTGTTGCTCTTAGCGCATGCACGGCAAGACTGAACGATGTATCGTCGTCTTGTACGTTCAGTTTGACTCAATACCAATAAGTACATTCAGCACATTCTTCAACCTCTTATCCACACTTATGTGCAAGAATTTAGAGAAAGAAGGACATAAGGAGGTTCTCCTAATGGTTGATGGTCATCCTGCTCACCGGAATTCTCGTACACTCAAAGTTGAAGCTGAGTTATCAATAAAATGTCTTCCCCACCCCCCTTACTCTCCGGATCTCAAACCCATTGAACATTTGTGGAAAGATGTAAAGCTTGGATTAGCTAAGTTAGAGAGAAGGCCTACAAATGCAAATGAGGTGAGTTGTTCATTGAATTGGGAGGGTTTACAGCCAACCAGCACATCAGTTGTTTGAAGCTATCTGTCATGAACCACGTCGTGATACCCCTGAATCCCAGCAACAACGACCCTGCTTTGACCATCAGACCCCCATCATATCTCCACCTACTTTGGTTTACACGCATCCTAGGACATCTGAGACCTACCACGGGGAAGTTAGGCGAGGTTAGGGTGGGTAGGAATGGAGGAATCAGAAGTACGGAGAAGTTAGGCGAAGTTAGGTTGGTTAGAGACGAACGGATCAGGTACGGCGAAGTTAGGTGAGGCTAGAGAGATGGGTGCTTGGTGAGTCGGTGAAGTTGGCCGAAGTGCGTTGAAGCGCGGAGGGGTTGGATGATCATCTAGGAGGAGTGGATACTATTAGCTGGGAAGATCGCTGAAGTTCTTCAGCGATCCTTGAGTGTTGTCAGTAGTGAAAGATAGATAGAAATAGCCACACACATTAAGATACATCGCTGTCAGTGAAACCCAAACCAGAGTAACTTCGACGTACTTCGTCGAAGTTACCATCAGATCGAAGTCTGCGCCCTCCTGTTTGGGTGAGACATCAAACCCCGAAGTACGAAGTTAGCCGAGGTTCGTCGACCGTCGGTCACTGAGGTAGAAGATAGACGAGAGGTGTGACACTATTTGTGACATATGGGACGCTACTCCTATGAGCCGGGTCAACAATCTCATAGAGGGAATGGAGACTAGGCGACTGGAGCTTGAGAAAGTCAACGGCACTGCAGACTCGATTGTGAAAATGGCTAGAGCTATGCATGTGTAGTTGTCATGAAAGACGGAAAAATGTGCGTTCCGGTTTTTTTATTAGTTGCCAGTAGAACATTCTTGATTTTCACGGCCCCTTTAGATTGTGAAATCTATCAATAATTGACTCATGACCAAAGGCCGGTTGGATAGCATTATAAATTTCTATGAATATTGAAGCTATTGGACATCCATATAATAGTTAAAATAATATTATTATTTCTTATTCATAACGGCATATAAAAATGTACGTGTCTAAATTGAAAAAAATTAAAGTTTTAGTGTACCATAATTTAAAATTCTGTCATTCTGGAGATATTTCCATTCATCATTAGCACCAACTATCGAAGAGATCCTTCATATCTCGAAGAACTCTCTTGGAGCTAAAGCTACTGAAAAAATGTCGGAAACAAGGCGCTCGTCCTCTTCGTACCTTCTACCCCTTCGTCTACTTGAGACCTGTACTGAATCCACACTCTCTTCTGTTCGCGCCGCTGTTGGCCCCACCGCATACGACAATTTCATGAGAGAGGTGTCTTTGGGATTGATTACAAGCTGGGTGGATGATCTTACTGGTTTGTTATCCTCCTCATGAAGTCCTCCACCCCAGTAACTACTCCATCTCCCTCCCTCCCCTTGTCTCTTGTGTTGGATCTTTGTGTGCTGAATGGCCCACTATTCAGCCTTAAGTACGTTATCGTAGTAGTGCTCTTTCCCTCCTAATGCATTACTATACTGTACATCTCCGTAAGATAACCTCATTAGACGTGAGCTTGGTCAGTGGGGTATGAGATTAGCCGGTACGGTAATATGAGACATGGAGATAGAGTAGATAAGTCTCTCCGTCTCAGATGAGAAGAGGAGAAGTACTTCCCTGAACGTCTGTCACGAACCATGTCGTGACATCCCTGACAACTACCATCACCGGCCCTCCTTTCACCATCACCGAACCACTATCCACCACCACCCCGAACCACTGAGACCAACTACGACGAAGTTACGAGAACCTAGGGATTATTAGTCACAACAACCCCGCCTAACGGAGAACTACGGCGAAGTTAGGGGAAGGAAACCGAGGGAGAGTGCAGTAGGGGAAGTTAGGCGACGTTAGTCGGAGTAGGATATCGGGGATATGGCGAGGTACGGCGAAGTTGAACGAAGAGGACTGAGCGTGAGGCTGTACAGGGGTTGAGGGACGTTCTATGAGAAGAGAGGGGAAGTATAGATAGTTTACAGATCGCTGAACTTCTTCAGCGATCCTTGATTGTTGTCAGTAGTGAAAGACAGATAGAGATAGCTATATACAATCGAGATACATCGCCATCAGTAGAACAAAACCCCAGTTAGAGTAACTACGCCGAAGTACGCCGTAGTTACACTCCTTTTGACGTCTGCGCCCTCCTGGTTGGGTGAGACATCGACTTAGAGGCGTCAAGTTAGCCGAGGTTCGTCGACCGTCGGTCTGTTAGAAGATAGTTGTTCGACAGGCTTGACAACGCCTACCGTCAAGGAAGGGAAGTGAGAAGGCGACTTTCCTGAAATGACAACCAACAAACATGGGATCAATCAGGAGTTCGGGGTACCTCGACTAATCTGATAGGGGTTGAGCGGTCGGTGACATTGGGAACTCGGATCAAAGCTCCTTGGAAGTCGATACGGCTGAGAAAGATGACCTCCCGTACGTCAGAATGTCAAAAGACGGTGAATGTCACGCCTGCGGGTAGACTGCGGTTGCAAAGTACTGCCTTGGGTACTGAAGGGTTTTAGTCTCTGGCTCGTAGAGCTTGATGACTGCCTTAGGTACTGAGGGTACTGAGGTGTTGGGTTAGAACCAACTAGGTGACTTTCAAAGATGAAGTTCAACTTCAAGATGAAGATACATTGCTGAAGAAAGAGGGGGGAGATGTGCTCCTTTTATACCCTTCAAAATGACTAAACTGCTAAACTATAATTTGCAATCTGACTAGACTGATAAACTAGTATTTGCAATCCCTAAGTCCTATTGGCAATCCTTGAGTCCTTATTTGCAATCCTTGATTGGGGATTGGCAATACTGCTATGGTGATTTGCAATGCTGATTAAGCATGCACTACAATTACTACTTCAGGAAGGTGGAGGCATGTGGAGGCATGTGGTGATTTGCAATGCTGATTAAGCATGCACTGCAATTACTACTTTGGGAAGGTGGAGGCATGTGGAGGTGGTGCCTGAGTGATAGCAAAACCCACATCATGCATCTTGCATGTGTTCAACTGTGGCAGTGTGGCAGAGCCACTCTGGGTTCATGACACTTTCTTTCTCCAAAGAAAAGCAATTGGAAGCCGGGAAAGAAATACAAAGAAGGTACAGATTCGGAAATGTACCGCGGTATGTGACTTTCACAATGTTCGTTCGTTCGTCCCAACACTTTTTGACAAGAGACGAGAAGAGAAGAGATCGAAATAGGATTTGAGAATCCTCTTTGACTATTCCCAGAGGGGGGACATTTAGAAAAGAGAAAAGAAAAAAATTAAGAAGCTCTATGAGGGGAAGCGTGTGAAGAAAGAGATTCAGAGTAAAAATCGACCAAAAAGAAAAAGAAAAAAAAAAAAAACACCATGGACTTACTTTTACTCATTTCCGTCACCTGTCAACTACATGAACTTAAAGCCTTAAGTCTTGAGAAACCGGTTATTCAAAGACTAGTGTTGCCAACCTGTCAAATTGACAGGACGCGTCTCTTGGCTCTCGAGCTAACTCCGTGAACCCGTGAACCCGTGGAGTCTCTATCTATCTATCTGCCTATCTCACACAGACACTTCTAACGCTCATGGGCCTGTATGGTCGGTCTCCTTCTCTCTTTATCGTCTCGCTTCCGCTCTGCGGGCGTTGCCGCTAGCCATGTGGTTTATCCCCCTAAGTTGTCTTGACATCATCTGTTATTTATAGTAGACTAGTGTTGCCAACCTGTCAAATTGACAGGCCCGTCTCCTACCCCTCGAGGTAACTCTGTGAACCCGTGGACTTGCTATCTGTCACACTTCTAGCTTGAGGATCCGTGAACCCTCTCTTCTCAGTTTATCGTCTCGCTACACACAACCTACACACAACGTGGTTTGTTTCCACGTGGTTTGTCTCGAGGGTTAATCTGTTATTACATTACTCGGGTTCACGTGACTTTCGGACAAATGTCAGTTTCGAACATCATAGATCTTGTACTTGATATCTGCATTCCATATTTCTTCAGGAATGAGTGACCCGCTCGCTGCAGCTGTTCTGTACAAGCGTGAACATCCTGAGGAGAGCTTCAAACACATCTCAGACCAGTTCAAAGTACCAAAAACAACCCTCCACGACCGATATAACGGGACACACTCTGACCATGTCTCTGCTGCTCATCACGCTCTATTTCCAGCACAGGAAGAAGCAATCCTCGAGAATATCAACATGTATGCTCAGCGGGGGACCCTAGTAGCTCCAAAAGCGGTGAGGGAAATGGCAGAGGCGGTTCATGGAGAGAAATTGGGTATCAATTGGGTCTCCACATTCATCAAACGACATTCCGACCGTATACATTCTCGTTTTCATGACTTCCGTGAGCTTGCACGCCATCAAGCAGATACCCCAGAGACTCGACAAGCTTGGTACAAACTAGTAAGCACCGCTGGCAATGTTGAGAGTTGGATCTGACAGATAGGTCAAGCATATCTACACTTCTCACATCTATTTCCCTCATAACATCTACAACATGGATGAAGTTGGCTTCAATATTGCTCTCCAACACCGTACACGCACTGTAGCCCCTCGCTCCACTCATCGTAAAGCCCAAACCCTCCCAACAAATAGCGAGCATATCACAGTTGTCGCCTGTATCGGCACAGAATCAGCACCAATTCCTCCCCTTGTCATCTATAAAGGGGAGTCGGTCCTTGAGGGGTGGACAGCGGAACAAAATCCCCCTATTCCTCAGCGAGCTATCACCACCTTTTCTGGATACTCCAACAGCTATATTACAAAGATGTGGCTAGAGGACATATTTGATCCTGCAACAAAAGCAATCGCCCGTAATGGAAAAGATAGGCGCCTGCTATTCCTCGATGGCTTTGATGCTCATGTACAACTCGACTTCCTTGAATCCTGTTGGTCTCGCAACATTGTTCCTATCATTCTTCCTGCCAATATGTCAAGCGAATTTCAGCGTCTCGATGTTAACTTCTTTGGACCACTCAAAAACGCGTACAAACGACATCTCCACAAATACCTCCTTGGAAACACTTCCCCCAGTATCTCTAAGGGAGTCTTTTACCGTTGGCATCAGGAGGCATGGAGAGAGACGGCTCAGATCAGGCAATTACGGAGTGCATGGAGAGACTCGGGTTTGTGGCCATTGGATCAGCGAGTGATGGGTGCGTCTCGAGTCCTTAGTCCACCTCCGTCTGTCCAGATTGACCCTCCTGTACCAATAGATCTTGAAACTTACAAAGCAAATGAGAGAGGGGTCGGGCAAGGTCGATATGCGCGGGCTAAGGTGGAAGAGAAGAAAGCTGCTGGCTTGGAAGGGGCATTGACACGAGAGAAGTTGAAGGATCAGGATATCAATCGATTGCAGGAGACGGCAGCCCTAGAGAGGATTGTCAGGGGGAGTCGGAAGCGGGCAAGGTATCCATTTGGGAAAGCGTTTGATCCAGAGGATACAGAAACGTACAGGGAAGAGCTAGCAAGAGATCAGGAAGCTAAGCGAGTAAAGTTGCAACAAAAACAGATTGAAAAGCGAAAGGGGAAGGGGAAGGAGAAGGAGAAGGGGAAGGGGAAGGGTACTCCACCGGTTGCAGCTGAGATCTTGACGGGCAGCCCAAATCTGGCAGGAGAAGCATCTGCGGGCCCTTCTCGTCGTCCTCTTAGATGTTGAGAGGCTCATTGTGCTTACTGACCCATGAGAACTCATTACATAGTCATGCATGATCATCCGGTCGAAATTCCCGTGCGGTCGAAATTGACGTGAACCCGAGTAGACTACTCGTCGTCACGTGTTTCTCGGCAGTTGCACTTTTTCGGACAAAACTTTTCATAGCTCTTCTATACATTTTGCATGCTATTCTTTGATTTAGTCTACAATGGAAGATCCTATGACTCTGGCAGTCCGGTACAAGAACAAGCACCCCTCTGAGAGCTACCAAAGCGTAGCACACGGATTCAAAGTGCCAAGAACAACTCTCATGATCGACATCGTAACATCCACCTCCCTCATCCCATCAATGCGCCTCACCGCCTGACAGTCGAGCAGGAGAAGCAGTTGGTGCTTAAAATCAATGACTATGCTACCAGAGGTACTCTCATTACACCCTGACATGTCAAGGAGCTTGCGGAAGCTATATGTGAAGATACAGTAGGGATAAATTGGATTGGACATTTTGTAGATCGACATAAAGATGTCTTGACCTCTTGTTTCTATACATATCAAGAGTTGGGACGCCTCAAAGCAGACATACCAGGAACCAGACAAAAGTTTTACCAACTAGTATGTATCTGCTCCTCCGTTTGACCCCAGCTGACAAGTGACAGGTCAAAGAAGTTTATGATACTGGTTTATACCCACCCTCATGTATATTCAATATGGACAAAGCCCCATTCAGTCTCTCTTATGAAAGAAAGGTGCGCCACATCGGACCTCGAGATCATCCTAGAAGAACGGTGAAGCAATTCCTCCATCAAGCAAGCACATCACATCCAAAGCTTGCATCGGCATTGATACCGCTCCTGTCCCTCCTGTCATCATTTATAAAGGCGCTTGTCTCCCAGAAAACTGGACCACAGTTAGTGAGAAGGATGTCTGACAGCTAGCAGTGACTTCTGACTCTGGTTGGACCAACAGTCATATAATGATCAAGTGGTTGGAAGATGTTTTTGACCCTTACACCAGGGATCTCGCTCAAGGTCGCCAACATCTTCTGTTCCTTGATGGTGGTGGAAGCTCGTACCAAAGTGGACTGACTTCCTTGAAGCTTGTTGGACTCGTAATATTGTCTGTATCATCTTCCCAGCCAACATGACAAATTGATTTCAGCCCCTAGATGTTGATTTTTTCAGTATCTTGAAAGCTCGTTACTTTGATCGATTGAAGACATATCAATTCGGTGCAGCGGACTCTTCTGCCGCAAAGGGGATGTTCTGGGCATGGCATCAGCAGGCTTGGAGGGAAACGGCGACATCTAGACAGATGCGGGGAGCATGGAGAAAGGCTGGGACTATGGCCATTGGATTTTAAGGTGATGGGAGCGCAGCAGGAGGAGATTCTGAGGACACCACCCCCCAGAGACCTTAGGTGAGGATCCCCTGACCCCACACACTGTTCATATCCTCCGAGCCAATAATCGTGGTATCCGCCAAGGTAAAATCAATTGAGAAAAAGCAAGTATGAAAGTCAAAAAGAAATGTGAACAATTGTTAGCTGAGAATGCAATGTTGAAGGGGGAAGTAGCGGATGTTTATGCGGCTCAGGCCTTGGATAAAGCAACAAGAGACAGTAGGAAGAAGCAGAGATACACAGAAGGAGTGTTTCTGGATCCCATCTATCAAGAAGAACATGCAGAGGAATTGGAGGTCAGGAAGAGGCAGGAAAGAGGAGGAAGCTCGGAAGAAAAGGCAGCGCACAGAGAGTAAAACCAACTCTACGGGCTCACAATCCTACTCGTAAATGCAGTCCTGGACCCTCAAACTGCATGTCAAGTTTGCTTGTCATTTTTGTATGTAGTTGGCATGTTATACAGATAGATATCATTCATAAAGGTACATGATATCATGTCCGACAAGGTGGAATTGCCGAGAAAGTCGTGAAGACGAGTAGTGTTGCCAACCTGTCAAATTGACAGGCCCGTCCGTCTCCGGCCTGTCGAGGTAACTCCGTGGGACCCGTGGACTCGCTATAGTAGATATGTGGGCATTTCATCATCTTCAAGATACTTGTACATTCGAACCCTAAAACCCAAAAAAAAAAAAAAAAAACAACAAATATGACTATAAGGTGTAGATAACCAAATGACCCTTTTCAAAACGTTTGCTTTCGAATCTTCTTTCTCTTTTTCCGTTTCTTTTTCCGTTTTCAACTCTTGGATCAATTCGTCCAAATGTATCTCTACCATCTTGATGATTTCCTTCCCTTCTTCTTCTTCATCTTCTTCTTGAACGATGGATCGAACGTGATCTTGACTTGTGGGAATTTTGACGGGTAGACGAGTCGACCTTTTCGTGGCTCTCAAAGTCGCGTAGAGACGGATGACATCGAGAGCTAGACAGACGGATTCACACGGATCACAAGGATGATATTGAGACTTTTTTGGTCAGTAGGGGTTTTTTCGTCACTTGGGCAGAAGATGGGATGAGATGACCAGGAGGGAAGAAAAAGGATTAAAACTAAGGCAGCTTGGCTCCATCATATTTTTCCTTTCCTCCATCCTCCATCTCCTCTCCGTATCGGTGAGGGTAAGTAAGGGAACAGGGAAAAGGAACGAGGAACAAGGAAGGAATGAACTCTTCCTTTTGTTTCCCCCTTCTCCCCAATTCGAATCATGTCCGACGAGAGAAATGAAAGGTTTGGTTTATGAATCCAACTCACGGATAAAACAACTTCCAAACTACGTAACCTCACTCCAGCCGTACGTGGTTTACTTTCATGTTCACCTCTCAACGCGAGACACATTCCGAGTATCGTTTCCTATCACACACACATCAGCTTTCCATTCGTTTTTATTTCTCACTTTTGATTCACAAATGAACAAGAACTGACCTCGATGGGATCGAAACTTTCTCGCTCTTGACCAATTGAAATCTTTTCTCCATCATCGGTCAAAGACTTCTGAGCGACGGTAGGAACGACGACATACGCGCAATAATCTTCTTGTCTATCCAACACCATGATCACCCACCGTCCGGCCTCTCCGTCCAATGGTTTGGCGACTAGCAGCACGTCATTTCGGTGTGTGAGCTAGACTGATATGTGTCAGCGGATCCGTCTTCCATTCTGAATTCACTATTCAACCCCTACCGAAAAAGCGTCCTCCATGTATGTATCTCTCCCCCTCACGCTCAACTCTACCCGATTGTGTTATAACTCGTTCCCGTCTTTGAAGAAGGGCGAGAGGATGTCTTTGGACATCACAGTTGCCCTTCCCGTGGTCGGCATGGAAAAACATACGTCCTTCCAGCCGGTAGGGGAAGGCAGGGGTTCCAAGTTAGAAGGAGAGGAAGGGGACAAAAGCGAAGGTAGGGGAGAAGAGGGGTTCCAAGAGACAACGAGAGGAAGGGTACAAAAGCGAACGAGGTGAGAGGTGGAACGACAGTTTGACTCATATGTTCAACCCGACGTAGTGATAGGTTGGGAGTGGATGAAGAGAGAAGGTTTTCTTTTTCTTTTCTTCTTTTGACTCACCCAGAAAGATCTGCCCCAACTCGGATCTCTTCCTTCCATATCCTCTCTTTCGTCTTTTTCCATGCCATCATCGACCGACCGAGTGGACGTTGAAAGGGGGTCGAGTTCAAAGGGTTGTAAACGAGAGAACAACACTCCTGAGAATCCTCTCTCCGGAACGATACATGTATCTCCTATGCGGTAAAGGAAAGCAAGAACGACCCTTATTCTCTGACCTGTGTCCAGTCCTGAGCTTGAGATCGGTCGAGGAGGAGTCGAGGATAAGGAATCAGAGCATGAAACGGAAGTGATGGCCAAAAATCTAGCTTGAGGTCTGGTTCTGGTTCTGGGTTTGGCGCTTTCGTCTTTGGGGGGATCGAGAGCGGAGGCTAAAGATGAAGAGGAAATGAAAATGGGAGGGGGAGATGTGATGACCATTTCTTGCCATTCATCCGAATCAGAACAGCTGGTGAGGGAAGTTATTGCCGACTGTCGTATGTCAATCTTACTTCTTCCCTCTGTCTATCTTTTTGTGATTCTCTCAAACAGGAGAAAGAATGATTACAAGACCTGAGAAAGACGGGGGGGGGAAGGTGCGTGACAAGATGAAAGGTAGACAGACATACGGTGTGAATGACATTGCAGTCACCATGGAAAAGAAGGTATGATCGGACGAAACGCGCCGTGCCAGGTGCGAACAGGAAAGGCAAAGCCTCAGGCTTGGGCTGGGGATCTGGCACGATTTCAGTGACGGTCGAAGGTCCCGCGTGAGGGGACGGGACGGGGACGGATGAGTGGGGTTCTCCTTCGTACGAGTGGTGTTCCGACGCTTGAACGACATCCAACGTTGGTCCGGGTGTTATGGTCGATGGGATCGAGTCGGATCTCGTTCTCCGTCTGGGTGATTCCGAATCGCGAAGAGATTTGTCTTTGTCGCTAGATTTCCGCCTGGGAGATTCGCATCGTCCGAGTGATTGATCAGTGTCGACACGGAGACGGTGGACTCGGGGGGGAAAGTCTCGTTGGGTTGAGTTTGAATCTTCATGATCTACGACGGTGGAATGTGGTGTGCCGATGTTGCTCGTATCATCATGATCTCGTAGGGTAGATGATCTAAACCTCCCAGTTCACTCGTCTGGTCCATCTTGACCCGTCCTCGTCTCGTATTGCGAGCTTTGGGAGATAACGATGATGATGATGGTTTGTAACCGAATGTTGACTGACCACTTTGGACACTCGCGATCGAAAATGTATTTGTACTTTCGGACAAAGTTGTCGCCCGGTTGACGTGGATGCTGCCAAGCTGTCCGCGACATGCATGGGGTTATTCTCATCGTGATACTCTGGTCAGAGGGTTCTAACAAGCGACGTTGATGGTTTTCTTGCCTCTTGCCGCGTTGATCCAAGTCAGAGGAATGTGGGGTGAGGGGGGAGGGGGGAAAGGGGGATGGGAGGAAAACCAAGTCGAAGCTTCTGTACACGTATCTGACCATCTTGTCGAAGGGGTGACATCATGATCGTGTTCATTAGTGACGGAAGAGGATGGAGGAGAAATGGTTGATATCCCATCTTTATGACCTACTCGGAGAATGATTCGTTTGATTTGAACAGGTTTATGAATTCATCATGATTCCCTCTCGTCCTCTTCTCCTCTCATCCGAGGTACTCTTTCATTTCCATAATCTCGTATGAAACTTTTCGCCCAAGTTTGAAAAGGTATCAACCTTGTCGATTGCACGAAATCGAATATCCATTTCTCGGCAACGTCAACCTCTTGTTCTTCTTCGGGTTCAACTTGATCCAACAAATCTTTGGGGAGTGTGTACATCATGTATACCTTTGATGTATTCTGTTGTGGGGTGGATGACTTAATCTACAGGTTGTTGTTGTCCTGGTAAAGCTAGGATACCACCTGATTTCTTAAATTTGATCAGTATGAGATGGCTTTTTACTTTATACTTTTTGGGGATGACTCGTTGTAAAGCTCCAAAGCTGCTGACTGACATGACCCAGTCTAATCCAGCTCCCATTCCAAGCCGGACGATACTACCATCTCGTTGGAGCAGCTGAGACTATTGCCTCGACTTGAGCTTGGCGTCCGACGTGGTGAAGGGAGGATCTGGACGGCATATACGATTGAAAGTCTCTCAGAGCCGTTCACACACGTCAGCACCAAAACCAGTGATCCAGTGAATCTCGGACCGAAAAGCAGATCATCAAGATGTTTAAAACGGAGAGTCAGCCTCCGTGGTTCATACAAGAGGGCATGCAAGCGTGGCGTACGGAAATGGCTCTTCTCGAGACCGTACGGGAATTCCCAGAGTTGGATTTCATCTGTCAAGCAAGGGGTTTTTATCGACGGTTTTCCCGGGCTGGGGTTGAGGTCGGAGCTACAGGCGGTGGTCGTCACACGGACGGACGAGGTGATAGATCGGTGGGAAAGGGTTCACAGTGTTTGGCGGTCATCATGGAGGACGGGGGTGGCCAAATTTGTTCGACCAGATTAGATGATAGATGAACTTTGCGAAGAGGAAAAGTGAGTTGGAGCTCTCCGTGCTTCCCTTGACACCTCCCCGCGGGCGGCCGCGCTCCCGTGCGCTCTCACCCTCTGTCCATCTTCACCTGACCAATGGAGATTGGGACACGGACACGAGGCTGATTTAAAACCAACAGGAAGGAAATCATCTCCCACTACATTTCTCTCTCCCGACGTCGAATCCTACATGGAGACGCCCATCCGCGTAACTGGATAAAAGTCGTCGACCCCATTCTTCTGACTCATCCGGGGCCTCCCCGTCGTCTTGGTCGACACCCCTATCGGATCAAGTTGATCGATTGGGGATCTTCCCGCTTGGTACCTCCTGGTGACGAGTGGGGTGATTGCATGTTACGAGCTCAAGTGGATGAGATCAAAGACGCTTTTGAGCATAATGACGTTTATAGGTTATCGGCACCGCAGGAGGTCTAGAGTAGAGAGGATGATTGGGTTGATTGTACAAAAGGTATGGGATGTTATTTGTTTGGCTACTTACACTCACTACTACAGATCCTTGCTCGGTACAGATCCGTCACCAGGACTGTATCCGTGTAGTTCTTGCTGGTACCTTGGAGGACGGCAAAGGACGTAGAGGAAAGAGAAAGTTCACTCATAACTCATCATCACCTTGTTCGATAGAACACCCTGCTCAACGTCCCTCAGAGTCTCCAATATCCTCATACAACATGGCCCTCACAGAGATCAGCGTTGACCTCGGCGTCACCACCTCCACCTTGCACACCGACGTTTGATCATCATCATTCACCCCTTCCGATATCCCAGCTGTCACCCTTCAAACCGTCCTTCTCGTCCTCGTGGACACCTCAAGAACGCCATTGATCGACAGACATGGACCGAGACGTTCTCCATCACCCTCACCCTTTCTCTAACCTAACATATTCAATCGTTACCCACCCGTTTCAGCTCTTTACCGTACCGACCCAACCCGTTTTTTCAATCTTCGCTTCTATTCCCCCTCCTCTCCTCCCGAGAAAGCGTCTCCTATCACCCACTTTGCGTTCCCGCCCGCTCGACTTCCCTTTTACCTGTACGTCCCGGTTGTGTGCGACGTACATCACGAGAAAGGAATGGATTCCACAGCTCTCTTTTTTTTTCCAATCCTGGTTGTGTATGACGCATATCACGAGGGGGAGGAATGGTGGGCATGTCAGTTTTCTATGGTCCTGGTTATCAGGTCGGCTTCAAACTCTTTTGAGGTCCTTGGTGAAGTAGGAAGACGGGGGTTTGAATGAGCAATCGTGGATAGAGAAGTATCTCAGTACGTCGCCCCAATATTTTCTTTCTCTACTAAATCGATATATCTATCCACATCTCTTCTCTTCTTCTTCCTCTCGACTTGTTGTTAATCACTATCACTGCTCATCTTTCCTACCTTTTCCATCATCATCTTTCCTTCACCGGGGGAAAACCAAAGTTCAAGGGTGATCGATCGTAGGTTTGCGCGATCTGAATCGCCAGTCGGAGCTCTCTCTACCCACCACCGAATCAAATTCACCAGCCCATATCAATCACCTCCCCCCCCCCCCCCCCCCGGGGAACTTGGATGCCCTCACCGAAATACACCCCCATACACTTTATAGAACGCCGCGTGATCGGAATCGAAAACGTCGACAAGATGAGGGGAAAGAGGATGAATAATGATTAGTAAAGCGGAAAATTGAGAAAGAGAAGGAAGGAGATGAACATTGGTACATTTGTCACTTTGTACGTGATGGAATGATGAGACTGATTCCTCAGTTTTTGTCCTGTATTACTTTGCTGGATGGGGAGTCGGCATCCAAGGTAGGTGAGTACGGATACACCTACGACGGAACCATTGGCGTTGGTGCTGGTGCTGGGTTCCGGTAGATGGTACCGATGCGTGTAGATGGTACCAATACATCTAGGTGATACCAATGCATCTAGGTGGTATCAATACAACTAGGTTATCGACTCCGGAGGCGATTGGAGCTGGCGCCCTGTTGGGAAAATTTGCGGTTGGGTAAAGACCGAACGTAAGACGGAACGGCAGGAAGACGGCAGAGGGGATTGCTTAGCAATAAACAGACAAACACTGAACATGAGTGCTCCACTTTCCGACCGTCTACTTACTTGTCAAGATGTGGAAGAAAGACCTACCTGCTGCTCCATACACTTTCCATGTAGTCCTTGCCAATATCGTCCCAAGATTAGCCAGTTGAACCAATCGAGTGGATGAGATCAAGATCTGTAGAATCAGAAGAGCCTGTCGAGCCAATCAAGTAGCTAAGGTCCAAGATCAATAAAATCAGAAGAGTCTTATTGAGCCAATTGAGTGGGTGATCCCCCTCACGGAACCCACACCCATTTTCAAGTCTGTCAAGTCTGTCAAAGTCCGTCGAGCCCATCAAGTCCGTCCAACCCACCCCCATTGGCTCTGAACCCGTCGAGACCAAAGAGACCATACAGACCGTATCCATTGCTTCCCACACTCCTGGAGTCAAGGTCTTCGGAACTGAACTCGGAGTTGAGACAACCAACACCTCGGCTCACCCAGCCTTGCTCACAACTCCTAGAGTCAAGGTCTCTGGAACTGAACTCGGAGTTGAAGCATGTGCGGGGCAAGTGGTTGAAGGGGGGGGGGGGGGGGGGGGGGGAGAGGTTCAGCGACAATGAAGAGTCTATTTCAATGAGATCTCTGCAATACTCCAACAAAGCAGAGCGGTGGACACAGAAGTCACAATCCAAAATTCCACTTGTACTCCAAGCCTCTGCTCTTGATTGGTTTAACACACTTTCTGCTGAAGATCAAGATTGAAGCAAATCCATCACTTGGAAGGACTGGTCCAAAGTTCTCAAAAATACATTCAGATCAGCAAACTACACATCAAAACTCTTGGGTCAAGCTCGAAACAGACGACTCCTCAAGAATGAGTCCATCACCACTTATTTCTGGCAGAAGGTTAAGGCTTTTGCGACAAGTACACGGCGATGACATGAAAACCCAAACCATTCTCCACAAGATCCCTCTCTGGTCTCCCTACATCCATGACAACATTGACTCTATGTTGATCACAACACCAACCTCACCGATCTACACCGTCTACTGGTTGATCATTAGAGTACTCGTACCGTCTAAACAAGCTCCATATCAAATACAACTCTGCTCAAGCGCTACAAGTACAAATACGAGTACCGGTCGTTCGTGACGACGACTGACCGTTCCGTTTAGGATATATACTGTATACTGTGTATGTTCTGGAGGATGATGTGCAGTCCAATCTGATCACTTTGATTATAACAACAGAAAGAAAGAAAAACATCAAGAATACTATATCTCTCCATAACACAAAACACAAACGCGAACACAGATGGATGGTACGTACGGACCGATCACCGTCCTAAAAGGCTCAATATCAACTCTGCGTTGAAGAGTCGATCTCGCTACAAGTACCGATCCTGACACAGAGATGATGGGATGGATTTAGAAGATGGAAAATCGGATTTAGATCCAGAAAATCAATATACGACGGATTTAGACAGGAAGGTAATGGAGGGATGTAAGGTACGGGGGGTACTTCTCGAACAACAGGAGCAGATGTACATAATTTACCATTCTTTCAGACCAAAGAGAAACAAACGAACATATCCGCCTTGGTAAAGGCGATACTCGCGGTCAACCTTTCACGTTTGGTTTCATTCCGTGCGACAGGATTTTTCATCTTCACACTCATCGTTCCGCCTATTTCCTTTCCTCACCATCATATCGGTTTCACTTTTTCACTACTCGGTACGACCATGCTTTCACCTTACCATCCCTTACGACCATCTCTTTCACTTTCCCAACATGCCCAAGCAAGGGGCGAGGTCGTAGAGTAGTAGTTTCTTTCTTTCTTTCTCGTACCTCGCACATTCTAGTAGAGTCCGTTTACTTTTACGTACCTCGACGAGAATATCCTATCCACTCGGTCTTGCTTCACCGTCATCAGAGTATCCTTGCTTCCGTTTCGATCGTGTCTCGCATGAAAAGATAGGCGAGTCGGATCTCATCTCGTGGACGCTGTCAAGTTTACGAATCTTACATGAAGAACCCCTTCCCCCCCCCATGGACTCTGAGATTCAACCTTCCCTAGAGTAGAGCGAGTAGAGTTTGTACTAACATGGTCATCCAGTCAACGTCAACAACACCATTCATGTAAATCCAGAGGGCTATCTTCACGCCCGATCCACCAAGCCTCTTCCAATCCATCCAAAATCTCACTTTCAACAGGATATAGTACGGAGGTGCCCATCACAAATACTGTCCTTGATCCCCTTCCGACTCGTCTCCCACTTGGATAAGAATCAGCCGGGTGTTCCTCTTTCCGTTCGATCCGTTGTGTACTGTACAGGTAATTCGAATCAGAGGTCGAGGGGCCGGAAGAATGCATATGCATGTCCTGTTCTGTTCGATGTGCTGACTTTTATCGTTAACGACCATTACATTCACATCTACATGGTTGTACTTGAATATCAAAATCAAGCTCCGTACTCGTCTCTCAAAATCAACCACTACTTGGTTACTGGTCGGAAATCAAGCTCCGAACTTGTCTCTCAAAAATGAACCACTACTTGGTACTTGTTCAAAAATCAAGCTCCGAGCTTGTCTCTCGACATCCTCGACAGGGAGACCGTGTCGGGGTGTCGGATCAAAGATTCACGTCAAGGAGTCGGATCAGGACGTCTTGGAAGATCGGGATGAATTTCGGTGTCAAAGCTGAAGCTGTAGAGGGATTGGATTGAGAAGAGAAATGAAACGAATCGAGGGAACTCTATGAGAAACCTCGGTAAACTCACCTCTTCCCACCCAAATTCAATCTCTTTCTTCATGTCCTCTCCGCGTTCATCAAACATCTCCTTCCATGTTCTCTCCACATTCCTCGGACATGTCCATCCCCGCGTCTTCTCCACATTCCTCAAACATCTCCTTCCATGTTCTCTCCACATTCCTCGGACATATCCTTCCATGTTCTCTCCACATTCCTCGGACATGTCCATCCCCGCGTCTTCTCCACATTCCTCAAACATCTCCTTCCATGTTCTCTCCACATTCCTCGGACATGTCCATCCCCGCGTCTTCTCCACATTCCTCAAAGAATCCATCGAACATCAATATGGACCATCTTTGATCGATTCTGCTGTATGTATGACGTTATGACGTTCTTCCATTCGCAGAGTGGAACATTCAGATTTAGATTTAGATTTGGAACTTTAACTTTTGAGCTGGAAGAATCAGCTGAATCCCCCCCCCCCCCCTTTTTTTTTTGGTTTTCTTTTTGGGTTTCAACTGCATGTGATACGTATGTATGTCAGGGAGGAGAAAGAAGAAGTAGGACTTTTGACGTGGGGTGGAGTAGAGAGTAGGACTTTCGTATTCGGTGTTCGACGTGGAGTGGAGGGTAGGACAAGGTTGAGGGTTCGTGTTCGGTGGGGTGGAGTGGAGGGTGGGAAAAGGTTGAGGGTTGGGGTTGATTCTTAGATGGGAAAGATGGGAGGATATGGAGATGGGAGAATATAAAGAGAGAGAGAGAGATGGGAGGTTGAGTGATGATACCGAAAGAAAAGAGATCGAGTGGAGGGATGGTTAGGTGATGATCATGATCATGATGATGGACGGTCGAATGGACGGGGGGTTGAGGTGGCGCGGAATGGGTCAGATAAAGGACAGAGGACGATGGACGATGGACGATGGACGATTGACGATTCACGATTCACGAAAGTCGAAAGTCGAAAGATGGAAATACAACATGGACACGCAAACTACTGCTGAATCAGTACATGATGTCGTGTACACGCGAACGTGTAGGCTTTGGTGGGGGAGTGGATTTGTAGGTGGTAGGACTCACTCTGCAGCTCGAGAAAACTCTCACGAATATTGTGAGTGGGATAAGACAAGGGAAAGGTTGAGACACGTGGGAGAATAAAGGCAAGAATCGGTGGACACGGCGAAAGAGCGAGACCAACACCCATCAAGGAGAAAGAAAGATACACGTCCGACCTACTCGAGAAGGAGAAATCTCTAACTCACAGCTTGCGATTCGGCCGTTTTCCATACTCATGCTCATGCTCATGCTCATGCTCGAGATTGTCGAGCTCCTTGTTTTTCTCAGAAATTGGCGGGAGATTGTCGAGTTTGGGTTCCTTCTCCCTTTTTGTCAGAAAATGGGTTTTGAGATTGTCGGGCTCCTTCTTTCTCTCAGAAATCGGCTCGAGTTTGACGAGTTTGAGCTCGTCTTTTCGGAAATCGGCTCGAGATTGACAAATTTGAGTTTGAGCTCCTTCTCCTTCTTTCCAGAAATCCGTGAGGTTTCGTTTTCCTAAGTGGTCAGTCTTACCCCATCAACGAAATCTGTCAGTCGTCGTACATGATCGTGATGGTGAAGGTGTTTGGGTACGAGTCGAAAGTCATAGGAAGAGAGGTCACAACTACAACTACAACTGATGATAGCTCGATCTGCAAGTCACAACTATAACTGATGATACAGTAGCTTGGGGGTACGGGTACACAACATGATACGGGGGGGGGGGGGGGGGGGGGTGTCGTGTGGTTCAGTGAACGGGAAGATGTCATGTCAACATATGTATGATCCGGATCGATCCCGTTTTTTTTTTGGTGGGATGGATGGACGAGCAGTTGGGATTAATATAGACATAGATCGATTATAGGTAAGTAGGAGAGAGAGCTCAAGTCGACTGATGGGGAAGAAAACGAACCCGAACCCGAGACCGAAACCGAGACCGAGACCAACCGGCCGTACGGGACGATGGAGCAGGGAAGTTGGTGACTCTTAATGGGATGAAATCAAGTTGGAAGGGGATGGGGATGAAAACAAGTTGGAAGGAGAAGGGGAGGGATGTCAAGATGGAAGATGGAAGGGAGGGATGCCAATAGGTTGGGAGCGGACAAGGTCGAGAGACGAGGAAGGGAGGGATTGATGGATTAAATGATACGGAACAAGGCGGAAAAGGAAAAGAGAAGAAAAGGATCAAGGAGAAGAGAATAAAAATTGAACTCACGTCATAAAGCGATTCATCCGTTCAAGTTTGTCCACCAAGACCGATCAAGAAACCCCATGACCAACGCGGTCCCGCGTCCGCGAAAAGACGTCCATGTCAGTGTGGTCCGGTGGGTTCGCTCCACGTTGAACGTTCTTTCTTTACAATTAAAGAATCGGGTGTGCCGACGAGGCTTTCCCGGGAGAGATTGGTGGACGGTTCCCGGGTTGGATGGAGGGATGAGAGGTTATGGTTGGATGTATGGACGGTCCGAGTTCAGATTCCACAGATGGAGAGGGAGAGGGATTGTGATGGAGAGAGATTGTCATGGAGAGGGATCGTCCTGAGAAGAAAGGAACCCATCTCATCCTGATTCCTGATTCCTGATGGCATCCCCTAGATGGATCCCATCATATATGTTGGATGATGTTAGAATGCATCAAGAGAGAGAAAGCGGTAGCTAAGTTTCTACGCAACTAGATTGTATCGCCGATACGTGTGTTATCTCCGATACCTCCGACATTGACCTATCGCCGATACACGTGTTATCTCCGATACCTCCGACACCGTTCATCGTCTCGCTTCCGGTCTGCGGGCGTCGCCGCTAGCCACGTGGTTTGTCTCCACGTGGTTTGTCCATCTCCCTCTCCCCCCTTTATCGTCTCGCTTTAACCCTGCGGGCCTTGCCGCACCCCCACGTGGTTTGTTTCAAGTATACACTGACATCACATTGTCCAACGACAACAACCACGACGACAACGACGACCACGACAACGTCATCAAGTAACTCAACACAAGCAAGAAGAAACTCGGCGACACTACTCCATCCAATCCAGTACGACCGAAGAAAGAAACATAAGAGGTCCAACCCACCCGTTCTTAACAACTCGTTCGACCGCCCAACGCCCATTTCTACTCGACTCAACCCAGACTGATCGAACACAAATCAACTCTTGGCTACTGTTCAAGGTGCTTTCAGAGATCAAAGAACGGGAAAAGTTCAACTCGGAAAAGGAGAAAAGACTCGTGGCTACTATCAGTTATGCTTCCAGAGCAACTAAACGACTTGGAGTCGGAAACGGAGAGGAACTCTTGACAACTATAAGTTAACTTTCAACGAAAGACGACCATACGTAGACTATCCTATTCGACGTCTGGTGACGGCAGGATACCGTTGGCCGTTGGGGTCATGACGGATCGGCTCGTCGGGAGGGGAGTACTCCAGTGTTTCAGGCAGGTCAGATGGATGCTTGGGGACTATCAGTGGAGTGAGTGACCTCATCTCTTGTTCTCTTGTCCACATGCCGACCCGATCCGTCTCGCCGGCTCTCTCCAACCTGCGTGATGTCTTCCCTTCCCCCCATCGGCTCACCGACAAGTTGCCATGGCCTCTTCCTCTTCCTCATCCTCTTTCAGACCTAGTCTCTGCTTACCGCCACCAAAGCCCGCATCCTCTCTCTCTCTCTCTCTCTCTCTCTCTCATCGGTCAGCCTCGGAGGATTTATGTGAGGTGGAGGGGGTCAATGTAAAGTAAACTGCCTCCGAGGATTCATGTCTGTTGAATATGAACTGAATAACAGAATAGAATGATACAGAGGGAAAAGAATCATGCATCCACATGACTCGGACTCGGACTCGGACATTTCACTCCATCATTGAAAACCCCCATGATCTGTGTTCCTCTTGTGTACCAATTGTTGATTATGAAAATTGGTCTCGTTGGGTAGCCGAGAATCGTCGAATGGGTTCAGAGAAAATGGAGAGGTGGTTGACGGGAAAGGAAAGCATTAGATTGTTCAATTGGTCAGGGCAAGATCGATCCTAGGTGTTCACAGCCCGGGCTCGGATGTCGACTTTGGTTCGAACCCACCTTGTCGCTACGCCGGCTTCGAATATCGAGTTGGAACCCATCTTATCACTACGCCGGCTTCGAACATCAAGTTTGAACTCGCCTTGTTATTACGCCGGCCTCAAATATCGAGTTTGAACTCGTCTTGTTACTACGCCGGCCTGAAACAACGTCGAGTTTTGAACTACGCCGGCCTCGAACATCAAGTAAACACACCCGTCATCCTTCTTCGCTCGCATCGACTCGACCTGCCGAGCTCAACAGTTCCAAGTTGAATCCGACTAGATGGGACCAGGTCGCTTTTGTCAGTAGTCAGTAGACACCACGGTGGTCAAGTCATGACTATTTATGGTCTCCATCCGGACCTAACCTAACCTAACTCGAAAGTTCACCAAAGAAAGAGCAGAGGGCCGACGATGGGGACATGCACTCCGACGTCGCGAGATGTGATATGTGATGGAACGAGTCGAGTTTTGTGATCCCATTCCGAAGAGAGAGAGAGAAGTTGGTTAGGTGGGATATTCGTTTTCTTCTCCCCTCCCCTCCCATCACCCACTCACCCTTCTTTTCTTCGATCCCGCCTCTGACGATCTTGTTCCTCGTTCTGAACCGTGAGCATCCATCGCACCAGTCCGAGTCCGAGTCGGAGGATGTCGACCGTGTTCCCCGCGAGATTGAGGATGGAGGTGGAGAGCATGTTCGAAACCCAGCTTGGGCCTGTTTTGTTTTCCTTTTCCCTTTGGAGAACCACGAGATCGACGGTTCATCTTGATTCGATGGAGAGACACAGACAGTACGAGTAGACCAACTCCGAGTCAAGTTGATTCCTTTTACGACATGATCACGGGCTCGCTGATGATGGAGAACCAGACGGACCGAAACTGCAAGTCCATGGAGACGGGGCAGATCAGATGTTTCGACCATTGACATGACGGTGTGAGTGGCTGAGAACAGAGATGACGGGGAGGGTGCTCGGTGACTGGATACCAAGTCGGTGAAGATTCAGAAATCTGGTGTGACGTCCAGCGTACGCAAAAGAGAAGAGAGCTGGTTCGTCTGTGGTCTTTGGGGAATGAAAGAATCGTGGGAGATGTGGTACATGACTCGGGGTAGAACAAAGGACGAAGGACGAAGAAACGGTACGATCTTTCGATCCGCTCGAGGAGGAGAAAGTGGCTTTATAGAGAGAAACAGCCCATCGTGAGAAAAGAACGACATGGGATGAGAAGCCGGAACCTCGTGTCGAGATGTTTGAGAACACTGGTTCGGAATGAAAGACATAGCGTTTTTAAGGATGGATCACCCCAACGAGGAGGTGGGAATGGGAAGGATCGAGGTATGGACAAACGAGAGAAAGGGGTCGACGAGGTAAACTTGAAAAGATTCCGATTCCGATTCCGATTCCGATTCCGATTCCGATTCCGAATGAGAAGGAATGTTTGTTTGTTTCAAAGCGAGAACTGACCCATTGACATGACACCCCCCGCATGCCCATACACTTTATCGTATCCGTTCCGTTTTGAAAGATACCCGATTGGTCCTGCGACCATTATAACTTGACACCCTCCCTCTCACGATGAAAGGAAATAGATGATACTTGATCACCCCTCAACCTGTTCGTATTTCTCCTCCAACAATCAGTTCGTATTTCTCCTCCATCACCCAATTCGTATTTCTCTTCCATCACCCAATTCGTATTTCTCTTCCATCAACCTGTCCGTATTTCTCTTCCATCAACCTGTCCGTATTTCTCTTCCATCACCCAATTCGTATCTCGCTTCGACCGATTCATAGCCGTCAAGGGTCTAGTGTGGCGGTGATCATGTGTTTCATCAGGTATGAATCAATTCTTTCCATTCGGCATCATAATGGTCATCGTAATCGTGCGATTCTTCATCAAACACTTGATTCTCTCTGATCTCTGTCGGTGTCGGTGTATGACGAGTGATACTGTATGGATCATCTTGTCCACGGAACGAACGGTAATCGTTTTGACCTTTGGATCGAGGCAACAGTCCTTTTGTGTTTCGGCATGTCACATGATGACTCTGCTTCCATTCTACTTTATTTGCCGGATGAGGGACTCGGCTTGTTTTTCTTCCTTATGTTCCCGATGAAGAGGCAATGATGACTTTGCTTGTTTGTCTTCTTCTTTTCCGGATGATGAAGAGGATGAAGGGGTAGTGATGACTCTGCTTGTTTTCCTTTTTGTTTTTCCGATGATGAACACGATCAAAGCTTCTTCTCATCTGACACACACAACTCGGTCAAGCTGAACTCACATCATCCAAAAACGCACTATCCCTTTACGGACAAACAACAATACCATCCCTCCGTTGATGATTCGGATCCCACAGACCAGCACCAGTTGTGAGCCATGTAGACTGCAGGGCGATGACGGACAACCAGGAGAGATGATCAGTACCAAGCATATCCATCCAAGATAAGATAGCCGGTTCGTGTACGATTTCCGGGTGGGTCTTGACTTATTCGACGGGTCAGTCCGGCGTTTGACCGTGGTTGTGGTTCGTACACCAGTAAAGCGCCATTTCGCATACCCTTTCTGCGCTTCGAGAGTGGGTTTGTTTTTGTTTCGAACCCTTCCGTGAGAACGAGGAACAAGAAGAATACATAGGTGACGACTCATTGAGACCTTGATTGTTGTTCCTTCTTGTGCGAACGAGGAACGAGGGAAAAGAAGAAAGAGATGATGATGATGAGCGATATGTTCGTATCACGGAATGACAGAGGAAGGGGGGTGTCACGATCCGTACTTACAGCGAGATAAAATCGGGACTATTACAAGCAGAGGTGATGGTGAGCCTCTTTACCTTTTAAGACGGTTCAAGAGGGCTCGCTACCCTACCCCGTCTTCAAAGGGTGTTGAATTCAAATTCAATTCCCGAGATTGTGAAAAAAAGCAACCGGCAACCTGAACCGAACGAGACGAGACGAGGAGAGAATACGTAAGAACCATCACAGTCTAGCTGCAATGGGTCCAACCATCCACAAAACATCTCATATCATCAGACAAGGGGTCCCCGTTGTTTTTCGACCTTGCCCAAAGGCCAAAAGCCAAAAGAACGGATCGACTGTCTTGGTGATGATGATGATTCCGAATGACGGTGTTCCCATTGAAAACATAGTGTTCTTCCCCGTCCGTCATGGTCTATCCCTACGTCCACGTCTGCCCTCTCGTTGACCTCTTCTCTTGGTGGGACCGTGAGCAGACGCGTATGACGGATGACCTTTTGGATCTTTCTGGGTTTGGGGAGTGGGGACGACTCCGGGGTTTGGTGTTTGGATCGAAAGCTGCATTTCTTGCCAATCGATTGAAAGTGGGTTTTTGTCAAGATAAGACCCATGATGAGAAGATCGTGTGCTCGAGATCATAACCCGACACCCAAGCGTAGATTCAAATTTGAATGACACCCTTGATCTTGTCTTGGCACTAGCACTCCCATTCGTCAACGGACAGACCCAAACCTAACAAGCCGATGAGAGGTATCGGTATGACCCGTCTCTGTTGTTCACAGATACAGTGGATCGTTCTTTCAACCGGGACATTCACATTCACCTCTGCACCGAGCTTATCAACTTGATGATCTCGGGTTCACCACCAACAATGACCTTTAGAATCAATCTGATCTTTTGGACGTCTTGATCACCTTTGTATTCACCCGTTCACCCATGTTGAGACCGCTGAACCCTTGGAGGTCTGACCGGCGCCAGGAGGAGATGGGGGATAAAGTCATGTCGTTTGACTCTGGTAATCGGTCTTCTTTCATCGTACAGTATCAATCTCTTGTGGTGTGTGGTGTGTGGTGTGTGGTGTGTGGTGTGTGGTGCGTTGTGCTTTGACCAGGAGGACGTATTGCGTTTCCAATCTCTCGTTCGGTTTTTCGACCAGAGGTTTCAAAGGTTCGTATCGTGTATCGTTTGGTCGTCCATCTTCCCTGCGTTCTTGTCTCCTGTCCCAGCGATGCCGTCGCTCCATTCGTCATTGTGTTGCTTTTGCCACTCCATCTCTTCCAGCTTGTCGTGTTGCTTCTCCTTTTCCAGCTTGGTGTCGTACACACATGCATACATCCGCTCGATTACAGGCTCCTCTCGACGACTCCAACACCATGTCGTTTTTCCCCATCATAACTTCTCAATCCGAACATCTCAGCCGACGTCGTCGTCGTCGTCGTCGTCCATGACCATTTGGACCATTGGATCCTTGTTCCTCCTGGGACCAACAACCTCGATCCACGATCACCATCACGTGCAGATCGAGGTCGTTCCTTTCCGTCAAAGCCTTTCCCTGGGTTTCTTACCAGACGGGTCCAGTCAAGATCGAGACTGATGATGCTTTTTGTTTGCCTACCGCCAAAGCCCAGGGTTTCAGACGTCCAGTCCGAGGTCTAGCTTGGTCTCGGGCGATACGGTTTCCTTTCGACTTGATCAGAGCTTCCCCGAACAATCGTAATGGTAATGGTAATGGTAATTGTAATGGTACAGGTGCCATGTGATCACATGACGGATTGTATTTCCATACCGAGCCGGAGCAGTCCTTCCGCTCGGGCCGAGATGGAGCGTTCGTCATCTGATAGAGTAACTCGTACACTGCCAGTTAGTCCCCCCCCCCCCCCCCTCCGTTACGTCGCGGTGTGGCATTTCCCGGATGACGATTACAGAATGTCTCGGATGATGATTGACACGTCATGTCTCATCAATTATCTCGATAGAAGGTGTAGATTCACAAAGGACTGAACGATGGGAGAACACAAGTCTTTCGAGTGCCCCATCCAACCTGACCGGCCGACAAAGCTGGAGCGATCATGACCGTCGCTGCTTCCGAAGGGCGTGGTTCGAGGAAGATACAGTGGATGAGTTAGGAGTATGGATGAAAAAGGATTTACTTCGTTGAAGAACTCGAATGTTGATTGAAAGACGTGATCGTTGATTGACCAAGGAGGAGTTTTGCCCATGGTGAATGCTCTGGGTGGGTCCGGTTCGACCGCGTATCAGGTGTTCAGGTGTTGAAAGGGCTCTGAGAAGGACGGGGAGGTGGTTTTGGGAAAGGGAAGCGGACGGGGAAGAGGAAGAGGGAGAGAAAGAGGAAGGGGAAGGGGAAGAGCAAAGCTTGACCTAATGATACGAAGCAAAATGCTGTCAGCTCAAGTAAAACATCGTCCCGAAGAATCCCTCACTCACGAATATAGTATCCAAACAATCCCATATTCACTCACAAATAAATTATTCAATCGTAACACTTCCCAATGTATGTGTGTATGTATGTGTGGAAATCATCTTTTCTGCCGACCGATGGACGCCGACTTGTTCCACGGGGACATACATATGTTAGCCATGGGACTGGCGAACCTCACCTCTCTGATCGAGGGCCAGTCGAAGGAGGTCTCACCGGCCATAGGGTTTGAACGGTCGGTCGGGATCGTGCCCCGGGACAGCTAGTCGTGTGTCGAATGTCATGTGACCTGTGTAAGTAGGGTAAAGTACGGTGAGGATTCAACTTTTTTATCTCTTGATCCTTGACAAGGTCAGATGTCAGATGTCAGCTCCGAGATAAAGTCTTTCTGCCCTGGTGCGAACTCAACCAGGTGCAGGCAGGGTCAAGGGCGGAACGGTCGGGACTCGTACTTGTACTTGGAAAGGAGAGGTGTGAGAGTCATGAAGGATCAAGTACGAGCTGGTCCCTTGACCCAAGGGGGGATTTCGGATCTGGACACGGGGGGAGGGACAAGAGGGACATATAGCCCGAGGAGAGGAGGGGACGCTTAAACATCCCGACGCTGTACACCATGTCCGGTCCGAGGCTAGGTGATGGTGACAGCGACGTGCAGTATGTGACTTGTGACTCGAGGTTTCTGTGAAATGCTAAATGCGTATGTATACCCGAGGGGGAGATTCATATAGTGGATCATGGTCGTATCTCTGGTGACGTACGGCGGAATGGGACCATCTTTTCAAAGCTTGACACTCACACTCACGCATCCCCTCGGGTGACGAGACATGACCCCCTCGGTCGAGCTCCAGAACGTTGATGTTAACGCCTGGCGGCGATGCCTGCTCGAATCAGCCCTCTCGTCCGGTCAGAGGGAAACGAACTCACCATGCGTTTCGAGTCTGCTTTGCCTGGATGGCGCACAAGTCTGAGTCTGGCCCGAAATGGAATCAGAAGGGGGGTCGACATGCAACTGTATGCTTGAGCGAAGGACTGGACGAGGACGGTTCGGCATCATCGATCGTCGATCGTGCACTCATGACTCGGGGAACGAGCATGGTCCGATTTCACGGGTCGTACGGATCTGTGAAATGTTAATGTTCAGGTCCGGAGCACTGCGTGTCAGCGATATACGATATACGATATACACCATCTCGAAAGCTATGTACACGATTGGACAGATGACATGGTGACAGATGAGCCACGTGAGGTGGATGTGGGAAGGGTCGGGGTTTGGAGGTTTGCACGAGGGCCACTCTTCACGAGATGTGAAGGTGGACAGGATTGATAGCGTTGATATTCCAACAAGTGACAGGGATGTTTGAGAAGAAGGAACGGTTGCAAGTATCTTGTCTTGGGGCTGAGAGTGTTGGATGAGCAAGGCGAGCAAAGAATCAAGGTGGTTGACGCAGAAGAGGGGAGGGGGAAGGGGGGTGTAACTTGAAAACGCTCTCACTTTGTAAATTGTTCCAACACTCCTCTCCCAACCGTTTAAACTTCATTGTTCCTCGTGTTCCATGCCTCCAAAACCGTGACTGTGACTGTGCTTGGGTGAATATGGATTCGATAGTGGACGTTGGAGGAAGGAAAAATCCGGGACCATTTATATCTTTCATCCCGAACCCTACCCCCCTACCCCCCAGTGACGGCCTCAGAATAAATCCCTCACATGCCTTCTTTCCCTCTCCTTGGCCATCTCGACATATCCCACTTCCACATGGGAGCCCTTCCCATCGCATTGGCCGGTTTCGCTGGTCTCGCAACCAAGTCTCGGATCCACATCGTGGAGAGGGAGATTGAGATCGTCGAGATGGGAGTCGTCATCGTCATTGGATGATATGATGGAGGAGGAACCTTCCAGATCGCACCATACCAGACACTTCTTTTCGGGATGGAGTAAGAGATGCCTGGCTCGGATGTCCGAGTGAAGAATACCGCACGAGTGGATAGCGTCCAGGGCGTGGAGAGCGGGTTGACTTTGAGTCAGCCAGGAGGTCATGCGCCGTGTGGAGTGGAAGTGGATGTGGGATCGAGAGTGAGAGTAGAGAGTGAGAGTAGAGAGAGAACAGTGATGTGAGGCGATGATGAGTGGGAATATGAACGGACGAGGGGAATGTATCAAGAGCGAGGGAGGGAGAGGAGGATGAAGCATATGACGACGAAGCAGAAGCCTATGAAGATGAAGAAGCAGACGACGAAGCCGATGACATCCTGATAATCACTCACAGATATCTTTCTGGCAAAACCACATCGTCATACTCACTGATCGCCTCGCCGCAGTATTCCTGCATCATCATCAACACCTTTGCTCCTTCCGCTTTGTCCGGCAGCCCACAATCGACTTTTCCTTTTCTCCTTTCAGACCCCAAAGTGTCATCCGCATGGGCGTCGGTCGAACTTGACAAGACGTCCGATTGCCAAACACCATGTAACCTCGGTACGACCTTTCCCTGTTGAGATCGGAGAGGACCGTTGAGGACGTTGATTTCTTTCCACACGTGTTCCACGGCTTGTTGACGTGTGTATCTGTATCCGTATCTGTATTTCGTATATTCGGAATGGGTGTGGAGAGTCTCGTGACTTGGATATGATGATTCGGTGTCGTTTGAAGCTGAACCTGATGATTCGTTATCGTCTGATTTTGATGATTTATGATGACCCGAACCTTCCAGATGTTCCAAACGATCGACTCGAGGAGAAATAGGAAACTCGTTCAGATCGCAAATCTTGATGACAACCCATAAAGGCCGCGTACGACCGGGAAACCAAACGTCCGCCTTGTACGTCGTGTACAGCCTTCCTTTTCCCAGCAAACGGGTCGGTTGAACGACCATGGGTATTCGATCATGAACATGAACATGTGCGACGTCTGGTCGTGTGTCTCCTCCTTTTTCAGCATGGTGGGTCGGAAGAACACCGTGAACAGCTTGAACGGGGGCCACTTTCACCGGGTTGGATATGATATCCACCTGAGACAAGTTGAGCTCTCTGATGAGATCGTCAGGAAGGTCTGGTTTCGGTTCGACTTTCACAAAGTCGAGGCTCGTGTCTGGATTGACCAGCGTTCGGGATTCTGACGATACGTCCGAGGTGGCCTGGAAGGAAGTATCGGATCCGGATCCGGTGGACAGTTTTTTTAATTTGATAGGTGTAGGTGGGGTGGGGAACAAGAGATCCCATTGACGGTCCATCAGCGGGGTAGGAGGATGTTGGGGTCGGAGTGGGAGTTGGGTGAGATCGATATGAGGTAGATAAGTTGATAAAGGGTAGGTGATATCGTCGCTCAACGTGTTGCCTTGACCATGACCGTTCTCGCCTTGACCATGTTGATTTGACAGAGAATGGTTCCATCCGGCGGATCTTGAGACTTGCGGTCCACCATGACCATGACTACCACCACCGCCACCGGCAGAAGGAGGAGGAGGAGGAGGAGGAGGGGGAGGGAGACGGGGAGGAGGAGGTTGTTGCCTGACAGGCTGAGATACCCATTTTATCCCATCATCCTCATCATCATCATCATCATCGTCTCCGTCTCTGTCTGGGCAATGACCGGCCTTGGACATGGCTAACACGGATTCCAAGAGAGAAGGCGGTTTTGCCAAGTCAAAGAAGATACTGTTCCATCTCCATCCTTCTAGACTTTCTTGCTCTCCCTCTCCATCTCCCATTCCCCCCCGTCCCTCTACATCCCCCATTTCCCCCCGTCCCTCTACATCCCCCATTTCCCCCCGTCCCCCTCCACCCCCCGCTTCAAGGGCAACCGGAAAATCAAAAGCATCAAAAAACACATCTCTAGCGACGATATGTCCAAACTCCCGCTTGATCCTTTCCACATTGGCGGCCGAATGATCGTGCAGGATCAGACCTGACAGTTGGATCTCGTCTCGGTTCAGGACGAGCATGATGGAAGCTTCATGTGACGAGAGCATGGCGTGACGAGTGTGATTCTTATGAAACTGTTGAAGGATCTATCGGTCAGCTATGCAACATGTCATATGAACGTGATGGAGGGGGATGAAACGATGTATATATATATATATATGTATTTCCCCCCCCCCCAACCCCCTAACCCCCTAACGATGTATATATATTGCATCTTGGACGATGGGGTCAGGACTCAAAACTCACCTGGGACAAATACCATCTCATCGCTGCCGACACCTTCCCCTTCTTATCCTGCTTGATCCTCGGCGTGGACTGTCCATCCCATATGTCCATCTTCAAAGTACCGTGTCTGCTGACGAGGAAGATAAAGACGAGTAGGTCGCGCAGGGTGAGAAAAGGTTTGTACTCGATGATGGCTGTGGTCCTGTACGCTGGCGTCGACCGCCCAGAGGTCGAGGTGGTGGGTGGCATCGGCATCGGTACGGGTGAGAGTACCGTCGTCGTGGGAACATCTTGATCTTGATGTTGATCCTCGCGTGAAGACTCGTCGATCAAATCGGAGAAATCAGTCGTTCCGGAACCTACTACCACAGCGTAAGTCCATCTACTATCCAACCATCCATCCATGTTCATGTTCCCCCTGACACGTCTCTTGAAGGACGCCGACGCCGACGCCGGTCCATCCGTCTTCCATAGATCTCTACCCAGCCTCAAGGCTTCGTTGGCGGGTACACATACCCCCTGCCAGAATTCCATTTGGAGTGGGATCTCATCAAAACTCATAATGTGCCATTTCACATCGTTTACCGGTCTGTCGATGTAGGTCACACATCTGTTTTCCCACCGTCAGCGTTGACCTCTCTCGAGTCGACTGTCGTTGCCCAGTCACCCAGACATTTATATCAAACAATCATCAATAGGTATCGTATCACGATCTTTGCCCATTGGACTGGTACGGGTGAAAGAACGCCGCGCTCTGATCAGGTGAGAGGGCAGGTAGAGGTAGTGAAAGAAACTGGTCTCTTGACCGGTAGACTGCAGGAAGATGGTGTTTGGCGTTTGGCATTTGTGAAACGAGCAGGATACGATCATCGACCGGTAGGTGGGAAGTGAGATACGATCATCGACCGGTGAAATACCACTGACCTGTTTGCCAATCCTACCTTTTCCGGATGACCAGGAGGTAGACGTGACGCTTCTTCCAGAGCCTGAAAGTGATCCGACGTCCAAGTGGTACGTTGATTCTCCCCGTGGACGAGCAGGGTGAGCCAGTCGGATGAGAACAGAGCCTGAGCGTCCAGCTCGGAAGGCGAGAGGTCGGATGGGGATTTAGCAAGGGACCGAAGGGTCGTGATCATGTTGGCGAATACCATCGGGGCGGGTACGAACCTGTCTGTCAGCATGCTTCTCCGTCCGGTCAACACGGTCAGCACGCTTCCCCGTCAAACAAGAAGACGGGTACATCTCACTTGGAACGGGGACCGGGTATGATCAAGAATCAAGAATGGTGTAATGGTGTACCGGTGTGGACGACCCACTTGATGGTATTCCATTTCGATTCCAGACGGAAAGCCTGCCACCAGTCCTTCGCCACCTGAGTCTTCGGTCTGTTCGCCCCTGAAGCCGACGACCTGACCTGTTGGTTGGACAGTTTAGTCGGGCTCCGTTGACTCGAGCTCCACGTCGGGACCTGTTCTCTCTCCTGCTCCTGCTCCTGCTCCTGCTCCTGCTCCTGATTGTTCGAGTTGCGTGATCGTCTCACCCGTTTGGACGACTGCGACGGATCATCCTCCGAGGGATTCCTCTTGGTACGAGGACGTGGGCCGGATTGAGCGAGACCTATACCGGTGGTGACTAGATTGAGATCGGTGGTGTGACCGAGTTGTATGGCTGCCATGTGAGGGCTGAGAGGGGGCATCATATGGTTGGAGAGACATTGGGCGAGGTTGGACGAGTTGGCGAGAGAGGTGGGTAGGGTCGTCCGCCGATACCAGGGCCTGGGGGGGAGTGACGAGTTGAGGAGTGGGTCAGGGTCGAATATGCTGTCGACGTGCATCGTTGTTGAGGAGGACGGTTGTTATGGCGGAATGTTATGGTGTTATGGTGGTGACGGCGGAGTTACAAAGATGTTTATGGTGGTGGTGGTTGTTCCGTGTTCAAATGAGGGGCACAAATAAAGGTTTCCGCCCTTCTTGCCTCACTTTGGCAGCACCTTTTTGTTCTGTGCAGATTCTCATGACCAATCAGTCCTCTCGGTCATGCATTGCACATCTTCACATGGGGGGACTAGATTACCTGTACCTGCCACTACTGCATCATCGAACCCTGAGCACAACCCACCATGAAGCAAGCACCTACCTCCCATTGGCCCAAGTGATCCCACCAAGGGCTACACAACAGAGTCTCAAGATGAGGATCAACGAGATGCAATGCACACGCCTGAAGGGCAGTGCACACCTGTCACGGCCGTCGAGCAACTTCTTCCTGATAGACCGACGGTCGACGAACCTCGGCTAACTTCACGCTTCTGAGTCGATGTCTCACCCAACCAGGAGGGCGCAGACGTCGATAGGAGTGTAACTACGGCGTACTTCGGCGTAGTTACTCTAACTAAGGCTTTGTTCTATTGATGGCAATGTATCCCGATGTATAGCTATCTCTATTTGTCTTTTACTACTGACAACAATCAAGGATCGCTGAAGAAGTTCAGCGATCTGTAAACTATCTATACTACTCCTCTCTTCTGTCACGAACTACGTCGTGACACCTCGATTACTCCACCAACAATGACCCTCCTTTGGCCATCAAAACCCCATCACGCCTTAACCTCTTTACTCTACACGTAACTCAGGACTTCTGACACCAAGTACGGCGAAGTTAGACGGAGTTAGGCTAAGTAGGGACAATGGGAGCAGAAGTACGGCGAAGTTAGACGGAGTTAGGCTAAGTAGGGACAATGGGAGCAGAAGTACGGCGAAGTTAGACGGAGTTAGGCTAAGTAGGAACAATGGGAGCAGAAGTACGGCGAAGTTAGACGGGGTTAGGCTAAGTAGGGACAATGGGAGCAGAAGTGCGGCGATGTTAGGCGGAGTTAGGCTAAGTAGGGACAATGGGAGCAGAAGTGCGGCGATGTTAGGCGGAGTTAGTCGAAGGAGGAAGAGGATGGCCGAGGGCTCGGGGAAGTTGGACGAAGTGCGTTGAAGTACGTCAAAGCGCGAGAGGGTTGGATGAACGTCTAGGAGGAGTAGATAATATTAGCTGAGAAGATCGCTGAAGTTCTTCAGCGATCCTTGATTGTTGTCAGTAGTGAAAGACAGATAGAGATAGCTATAAATCAAGATACATCGCCATCAGTAGAACAAAACCCTAGTTAGAGTAACTACGCCGAAGTACGCCGTAGTTACACCCCTTTCGACGTCTGCGCCCTCCTGGTTGGGTGAGACATCGACTCAGAGCGTGAAGTTAGCCGAGGTTCGTCGACCGTCGGTCTATTAAGAAATAGTTGTTCGACGGCCGTGACATCTTCTCATAGAACGTCCCTCAACTCCTGCACTGCCTCACGCTCAGTCCTCTTCGTTCAACCTTGCCGTACCTCGCCGTATCCCCGATATCCTACTCCGCTCACTTCGACTAACTTCGCCTAACTTCCCCTGTTCTGCTCTCCCTCGGTTCCCTTCCCCTAACTTCGCCGTAGTTCTCCGCTAGACGGGGTTATCGTGACAAATACACTCTTGGTTCTCGTAACTTCGCCGTAGTTGGTCTCAGTGGTTCGAGTGGAGGTTGGTGGTGGTGAAAGGAAGGTCGGTGATGGTGAAAGGAGGGTCAGTGATGGTGGTTGTCAGGGATGTTACGACGTAGTTCGTGACAACACCAAGCTCTTGTGATGAAAGATCCACCGCTCAGCTCATAGCATGCATGAGCTGAGACCCTCCATGAACTGCTTGTACTGGGACCAAGATGTCACACCGCTCGATTAACTTCTGTCTATTGGACCAACGGTCAACGAACCTCGGCTAACTTGACTCTTCAGGGTTGATGTCTCTCCCAAACAAAAGGGAGCAGATTTCAGACGGGTGTAACTATGGCATGCTTCAGCGCAGTTGTTCTGACTGGGGTTTTCTGTGACGGCAATGTATCTCGATGTGGGTGTAGCTATGTCTTTCTATCTTTCACTACTGACAACAATCAAAGGATTGCTGAAGAACTTCAGCGATCTTCTCCGCTAATACTATGTACTCCTTGTAAATCTTCATCCAACCTGTCACAAGGTTGTTTCTTCGTTAACTTGCTAGGACCGACGGCCAATAACTTCGTGGGCTTCGACCTTTAACTACCTCGTTGTTTGAAATATGAAATAGGTGACAATAACTTCTGGGTGTAATAACTTCGTACTTTACTAACTTCTATCACTAAGACAACAACCAGAGATTGTCAAAGATCTCTGGGAACTTTGGCCCTTAAGTACTTCGTCCTTCCCTAACTTCTTCAATGCAGAACTTTGTTCAACCCGGAGTCCCGAGCTTCGTACCTCGCGAACTTCGTCCCCGACAAAGTTCGTGCCTCCCTAACTTCATATCTCGCTAACTTCGCATCTCCCTAACTTTGTATCTCCCTAACTTCGTATCTGTTACGACCTGGTAAGCCAGCTTGTAACACCAAGTCCCATGATCTCTGAACAAACCACCTGAAGCCCTTCAACCCTACCATAACTCATTGCTCCCACAACTGCGAGTAACTCCGTCACCAAACGACAACCACCGATAACATTCGATACCCTTTGCTCACCGGTGATACTCTTCGATAGGCACCGATAACCTACAACCGTCTCTCGACGCATAGCAAAGAGCTGCGGTGCAAGACATGTACTTGCACCGCAATGCATGCAGAACTCCGACCGGACTCGATGGAACTCAGAGGATAGCAATGCAGGACATAGGGAAGAGCCGAATGTATCGTAGCAGAGCAATGATAAGCATAGGAAGGCGCTAGAAATCCGGTGGCCTGCGGGGGCCTGCACCCTGGGACCCTCTGTAGACTATTTAAACCCTACTTCTTCTTTCCATAGTTTCTTTTCTTCAGAGATCAATTATCATACGTTTTCACCAATCACTGACCAAGTCCTTGATACTGACCTCGACTTCAACCTTGTCCTCAACATAGGCCCCAAGCCTCAATCTCTTCAATACCTTGGGCCCTATTATTGTCATCGGACACGCTCTTGTCATCATCATCTTGGACTCTCTCATTGTCAGTAAGTAATCTCGTCCAGTGTATCAAAGTTCCACTCTCTCTCTCTCCTTCTTCATTACCTTGTCATCCACTCCTCTCTCTTCCTCACTCGTCCACCTGTTGTCTTTACTCCCAGACAGTCAGGCTTAACAGTATCTCCCTAACTTCCTACATGACAAACTTCGCCCTCGACGAAGTTAGCCTCCTAATACCCTCGTGGGTGATGAAGTTCATGAGAACTGGATCGTTGATGGCGAACTGATGTCCAAAGGAACCTCGTTGATGGGGAAGGTGTCACGAACCATGTCGTGACATCCCTGACAACTACCATCACCGACCCTCCTTCCACCACCACCCCGAACCACTGAGACCAACTACGACGAAGTTACGAGAACCTAGGGATTATTAGTCACAACAACCCCGACCAACGGAGAGCTACGGCGAAGTTAGGTAAAGGAGACCGAGGGAGAGTGCAGTAGGGGAAGTTAGGCGAAGTTAGTCGGAGTAGGATACCGGGGAGATGGTGAGGTACGGCGAAGTTGAACGAAGGGGACCGAGCGCGAGGCTGTACAGGGGTTGAGGGACGTTCTATGAGAAGAGAGGGGAAGTATAGATAGTTTACAGATCGCTGAACTTCTTCAGCGATCCTTGATTGTTGTCAGTAGTGAAAGACAGATAGAGATAGCTATATACAATCGAGATACATCGCCATCAGTAGAACAAAATCCCAGTTAGAGTAACTACGCCAAAGTACGCCGTAGTTACACTCCTTTCGACGTCTGCGCCCTCCTGGTTGGGTGAGACATCGAATTAGGACCACCAAGTTAGCCGAGGTTCGTCGACCGTCGGTCTATTGGAAAGAAGTTATTCGACGGCCGTGACAGAAGGATGATGTCACGCGGTGCCGCATGACACAACCCTCTTGCACTGAGACTGTTACGGGGTAACAATCTCAGTGGACTCAGAATCGAGTTCGGTAGAGTTGGATACGGGAGGGGAACACATTAGGTAGGGATCAAGTTTTCCTCTTTCGGGATTTTCCCAATGGGTTTGCTCGAAGCAGGTTTCTTACCTTTTCCGTGTACATAGACGCTTTAAGAACTCGACGGTTTCAGAGGAGGTGTCACGAAGTGACAAGACAGTTTGATAGTGATAGTAATAGGATGGGTTGGGTATTTAACCAGCGACCGGCGGTATGCAGTAACCGCCGGTTAATAGGCCTTTTAGCACAGTGGTTTAGACCGCTGCCTCTGAAGGGCACTGTTATATCGTCCCAATGCTGGTTAGTTGGTCTCGTGACAGATTAACCGGCGGTTACGGGTAGGATCCTGGGTTCGACTCCCAGGGTGGGCTGGGTCGTGCTCAGTCCCTACTTGGAAAACCTGCCTCTCGGAGAAAGTTTTCGGCCTATCGTGCCCATCCCTGTTGGGGCCCCAGATGGGGCTGAAAGGGAAGGCATAATGTCACGAAGTGACAAGACAGTTTGATAGTGATAGTAATAGGATGGGTTGGGTATTTAACCAGCGACCGGCGGTATGCAGTAACCGCTGGTTAATAGGCCTTTTAGCACAGTGGTTTAGACCGCTGCCTCTGAAGGGCACTGTTATATCGTCCCAATGCTGGTCAGTTGGTCTCGTGACAGGAGGAGAGGTCGAGACCTTGTAGATTGTAGTACAAAGTACAATCAGCAAAGTGAGTAACTTTGCTGACTCTTCAATACATCTATTTGGCCCTCTTCATAGAGGATAACCTTTCTTCTTGTGGTAGTGACTCTGTACTGTCTTCTTCCAATCTTCAGATCCTTGATTCCCTTCTCCCGTACGCTTCATACGGTTCCCGTCACATGTACATTCAATACGAGTGCTGTTGATCTGAGAGGATTGGGATATTTGGACTGCCTCCTTTACTTGACCGCAGTCTGTGATCTCAGATTGATACATTTGTCGGATTTCGGCCCAGGTCTTTGCACTTTGTAGTAGGTTCATGAATAACGTACGTACAACCTTGAAATCAAAAGTTACTGAATCGAGGACCCAATCCGTACGTGCATTGTCGTCAGATTTACAGCCTCAATCATAGGCTTTCTAACCATAGCATATTGAAAGCTTGTAGATGGCTTGTCATCTTCTCTACGGTAGCGTTAAAGGTTTTGTGGACAATGTTTGATGTCTGTATGGTATTCGCTTGCGTTCAACCGCATGTCTTGCTCCAACCAGTACCACATGTCATATGTGGTCTTGTGTGATCGTACATCAACAAGTAAGCCGCTATCGACTGTACTCATGATTGCGCCTTGTGCACAAAGTTCACATCCACACCATTCTTGCCACTTGTCTGTGAGAGGTTTCTTGTCACCCATGATCTCGTTCAATGTTGGCAAACCAGATTCTTGACGTTCGGTGCACTTGATCTCCAGAGGTCTTCCTCCATCATCAAATCTGTGTGTACTTCCGATTGGGTCCAACATTTGTTCCCTACAACCGTGTACGAGAAGGTGGTTTTCAATCACAAGCTTCCACTTGTGATACTCAGACACTGATGAGCTTTGCAATACTCTCCAGGCCAACTATACAATCATCCAAATGACTTTTGGACATTGTAAGTCAATATATATGGGTCAAGGTTCACTGTGATTGTTCTGGACATTGTAAGTCAATAGATAGGGTCAAGGTTATCTGAATGACTTTTGGACATTGTAAGTCGTCGAGGTTCACTGCGATCAAAGATATCATAGTCGTACGTACTTTCAGTGAACTAGTCAGAGCTTTGAGCTTGAAGTGCACGTTCACGAATAAGATCGAGATGCATCAAAAGAGAAAGAGATGGCTCCACTCTTCCGAACATCCGAATAACTGTATGTGGTGGGATATCAAGGGGGGTAGTTTGATGGTGATTGGTGTGGTTCTCCTCCCACAACCACTTGTACACTTGGACAAACTGACAAAACCTCTTTTGATCTTTTCCTCTTGAGACCTCCCCTCCCCTCGCTCGTGTACCATCCACAGGAGACCAAACAAACGAGCAAACAAAGAAACAAACACTTTTTCCTCCCTTCTTTCTTTCTAAATAGAGGTTTCGACTATCTGGCCTGCCAAAACGTGGATGACAGGATATGAAACGCCCTGATACCCGTTCAGCGAGGTCATTCTGACGTACAAGGGTCTCGTTGTCATATGGACTCAGTCGTGGCACGCTCTCTCCTGATGGTGGTCAAAATCGGATCCGATCGGAGTCAACTGGCTCCGGGGCTACCCAGCTTACCTATAGCACCTGGGTTCGCGTTTGCAGTCAGGGAAAGATGATGATGGGGCGAATACGAGTGTCAAAGCAGATGAAACGGGAGAGGAGAGTGATGCATGGCAACGAGCATGACAACCCGCCGAAAAGTGAAGCTCAGTGAGGATGGCATGCACGACTGGCCACCGAGAGCCATCGTGTGGGACAAGAAACAAGCGGAGCGGAGCATGAATGGGGGAGGACAGACTGGTCAGCGAGGCAGCCGACACGCCGACCGAGCAAGCGTAGCGTAGGCAAAGCTAGAATTCAACCGAGGCAGCGCAGGATACGCTGGTTGTATAGCCTCGGTGGGGGATAAAGTCAAACGAGCGA